CACCGCAATGGGTGCTCCACTGCTGTCCTGTAGTTAGTCCCAGCCCAGGCCTTGGGCCTCAGGGCCACAGGAAGGGGCCCAGATGGGGTGTCAAATACCTGGGTCTGTGTCCCAGCCTGGTCACCTGCTAGCTGTGAGGTCTCAGGCAACTTTTTGAACTTCTGAGCTGATGTTTTCTCATCTGTCAAGTGGGGACAGAAATAGCCATTTCCTAGATTGTCGTGGACCACAGGGAAACATGGGTGTCCCAGAGCAGCCTGTCCCCACTTCATTAAAAAAGAAAAGTGTTTTTTTTTTTTTTTTTTTTGAGTTGGAGTCTCACTCGGTTGCCCAGACTGGAGTGCAGTGGCCACTCCCGGCCACCGCAGCCTCGCCTGCTGGGCTCTGGCGATCCTTCCGCCTCAGCCTTCCGAGTAGCCGGAATTACAGGCATGCGCTACCACGCCCAGCTGATTTTTTGATTTATTGTAGAGATGAGGTCTCGCTGCCCAGGCGGGTCTCGAACCCGTGGGGCTCAGGCAATCCACTCACCTCAGCCTCCCAAAAAAGTGGTTTTTAAAAAAATTTTTTTGTAGAGACAGGGGGTCTTCCTATGTTGCCCAGGCTGGTCTTGAACTCCTGACTTCAAGTGATGCTCCCGCCTCAGCTCCCAAAGTGCTGGGATTACAGGCATGAGTCACTGCACCCAATGGTCCTCACTTCAGTTCTCAGCAGACTAAGCTGTCAGACCAGCAGTGCCCTCCTCAGTCCTGGGAACCTTGAAAGGGGTAGCAGCCCTGGGGCTGGTGGCCCTGTGTTCCAGTCCAGGCTGCTGCTGGATAACATCTTTCCTGCCCTGGGTAACATATTTCCTCATAAAGCAGGGAGAACCATCCCGACTTTTCTACTTCCTGGGGTAAGAGAGGGTTAATGATAAGGCTGCTGGGAAAAGCACAGTATAAAGCCTGTGCACATGGAAAGCCTGGTTTTTTTTTCCCCCACAGGAACCAATTTGAAAAGCATTTTGTATCTACAGAATCCACGGCAAAGTGAAATTCTTCTATAGCACACTAAAAGCTAACTGAATGAGAAAATGCAGCTCTATTCAGCAGAACTACTTGAAATAGTTAATGTTTAACAGCCCATTTAGCAATCACTACTTTATTCAGAACACAGCTTTGAGGTCCTTTCATGTGAATTTGTTCTATTTTGGCCATCTTCCTGGGCCAAGCTGTTGATCACCACAGTCAATCGAGCACTCCAAGTAAAGCTTTCTTCCCTGATTTTAGCTTGCTTCCTAGAGGCTATTCTGGAACCTGTATGGAGGCCTGACCGGAATTTGTGGTTTCCTGCAGTCTTCCATGTGACCCTATGGCCAGGTGCCCATGTGACCTCATGGCTGCAGAGGGGTGCACACAGCAGAGGCGAGGGTAGTTCCTGCCCTATGGAGTCTGGCAGCTCATGGCCTACCTCACTCTCTACACCTAGCCCTTGCTTGCTGGGAAAAGGATGCGGCAAGACACACATGCACTCAGTCCACTCAGCAATGCTGACCACACATCCTCAACCCCTGCTCTTGCTCTCAGAAGCCGTTTCCTGATCCTGGCCTGGCTCCGGGCCAGGGTCCTACAAACTTTACAATCCAACATCACCATAGGCCTTCTATAGGGACACAATAACTGTGACAAATATTGCTTGGGGCTATCAGAGGTGTATCATTATCAAGCAAAGAACTGTGCACAAGAATGTGTGGAAGAAGTAAGAGAATGAAATAGATGAAACAGAGACTAGAAAAACAGTAGGAAAAAATAAAAGCAAAAGGAGGTATTTTGAAAAGATCAACATTATAAAGAAAGCAAAAAGATAGTCAGGTGCGGTGGCTCACCCCTGTAATTCCAGCACTTTGGGAGGTGGAGGCAAGAGGATTGCCTGAGTCCAGGGGTTCGAGACCAACACAGGCAACATGGCGAGACCTCAAGTCTACGATAATCAAAAAATTAACTGGTGTGGTGGTGCGTGTCTGTGGTTCCAGCTGCTTGGAAAGCTGAAGTGGAAGGATCACCTGAGCCCAGCAAGTTGAGACTGCAGTGGCTGTGATGGTGCCACTCCACTCCAGTGTGGGCAGCAAGAGTGAGACTCCGACTCAAAAAAAAAAAAAAGTAAAAAGACAATGCACAAAATGGAAGAAAACATTTGCAATCACGTATCTGGTCTAATACCGAGTATATAAATAACTCTTATATAAAACTTAACAATAAAATGACAGCTAACCCAACTTAAAAATGAGCAAAATAGGCCAGGTGCAGTGGCTCAAGCCTGTAATCCCAGCACTTTGGGAGGCCAAGGAGAGAGGATTGCATGAGCCCAGGAGTTTGAGACCAGCCTGGGCAACTTGGGGAGACCTCGGCTCTACAATGAAAATTGAAAAATTAGCTGGGCATGGTGGCAAGTGCTTGTAGTTCCAGTTACTTGGAAGGATCACCTGAGCCCAGCAGGCTGAGGCTGTGGTGGCCATGAGCATGCCACTGCACTCTAGCCAGGGCGACAGGGTGACACAGTTCTTGAAAGAACTTGAAAGTTCTTGAAAAAAGCACACAGTTCTTGAAAGAAGATATATAAATGATCAATAAACATATAAAAAGATGTTCAATATCATGAGTCATTAGGTCATTGCAAATTAAAGTCACAATGAGACATCACTTTACAACTACCAGGATGACTAGTATAAAAAAATTGAACACATGAGGCCATTTCCTGAGACCAAAAAAAATAAAAACAAAAACATTAGACAAAATTTTTTTTTTTGGTGAGGTGTGGAAAAATTGGAATCTTCAAATCTTACTGATGGAACATAAAATGGTATAGCTACTCTGAAAAACAGTTTGGCAGTTCCTTAAAAAGTTAAACATAGAATAACCATATGACCCTGCAATTCTACTTATAGGTAAATACCCCAAATCATTGAAAACATATGTCCTCACAAAGACTTGTACACAAATGTTCATAGCAGTATTCTTCATGGTAGCCAAAAAGTAGAAACAGCCCAAATGTCCATCAACTGGTGAAATGATAAGCAAACTATGGTCTACCCACACAACAGTCATAACAAGGAATGAAGAACTGACACATGCTACAATATGGATGAACTCACATGATACTAAATGAAAGATGTCAGACAAAAATGATCACATACTACATGATTTCATTTATATCAAATGTCCCGATTAGGCCACACCACAGAAGTAGAAAGCAGATCAGTGGTTGCCATGGGCTGATGGGGGTTGAGGATTCTGGGAGTGACTACTAAAAGGGAAGGGGTTTTGAGTGATAAAAATGATCTAAAACTGGACAGTGGCGATTGTTACACAACTTTGTGAATATACTAAAAACGACTAAGTTGTATACATACTATAAAAGAGTGAATTTTATGGTATGTGGGTTGTAATTCTCAAAAGGAATAATATAAAGCTGTTAGAAGGGGAAAAAAAGGAACATGTTGAAAATGAAGTACCAAAGGAGTCCACCTGGGTGTAGGAAGCAAGAGAATCTAAGAAAACAGTGATGCTAACGGCAAGCCGGCTTGCTTTTCACTGTTACTGCCTACCAGTAGCGCTGAGCAATGTCAGTGATCACTGTTTCTCTCTGCGAGTGGGCTGCTCTCCTGTGCCACTGTCAGTAAACTACTGTGGGCAGAGGAAGAATGTGAGCTATGATTCATTATGTAGAACCTCATGTCTACACAGTGCTGTGGAAATCACAAAGTGCTGTCATAGATATTGTTATCCCTGTAACCCTGTGAGGAAGGAAGATCCACCAATGAGGACTTGAAGCCTCTCTGTGACTGTGACCACTAGCAAGGGGCCTCCACTCTGGACCAGACACCTGATTTCAGTTGAGGGTCTCATACCACACACCCCATGCCTGATGCGCAGAACTGGGGTCCTCATGCCAGCCCTGCACCTTATCCCTCCATGTCAGTGGCCTCATCCCTGAGGGCGCACAATGTCCAAAATGTAGATAATTACATGAAATGTCCAAAGGCATTTACCCGACTCTTCATTTCTTTCCTGACTATTTGAGGATTCTTTGTTCAATGACTCATCATTCCTGCCCCATTGCTGTCTGCATATGGCAACTTTGTTTTTTTCCAACAAAGTCACAAAATGGAGACTAGCAGGAGTCTGAGTAAATGACTCTCATTAAATCACAGCCCATAATTATACATTTTAACAGAAATATATTTAGCATAGGAACCAAGCCTATTAGAACTTTAAGGGTAACTAAATGGTGCACTAAAGTCAGACTTCTGCTTGTGGTTGAGGGGTGAAACAGTCAACAGAACATAAAAAGCCATGTTAGAATACACTGTCAACTGAAATGTGGCAGGAGGTGGGACAGCATTGCAGTGTATGGGAAAGAGAACTTCTTCAGCAAACCAGGACAGACATTCAGAAAATGCTGGCACTAGAGTATCCCTATGACAAGACTTTAAGGGACTTTCACTTTCTTCTTTACACTTTTGCGTACTGATTTTTTATTTTTATTTGTTTACTTTTTTAAGTGGAGGTTCCAATACAAATACAAATATTTCAGTAAAAAGTCAGAAATAATTTTTTTTTTTTTAGAGACAGAGTCTTGGTCTGTCACTCAGGCTGGAGTGCAGTGGCATGATCTTGGCTCAATGCCTTCACCTCCTGAGCCCAAGCAATCCTCCTGTCTTGGGCTTCCAAAGTACTGTGATTATAGGCATGAGCCATGTTGTCTGGCCAGAAATAAATTTTATTTTGAGAGGGACAAAAATAAGTATTGGCTCAGATAATCATTAATAATCTGTTCAGCTCTAAACTTCACAATATGCCAAACTTGGGATGCCAATGAGCAAGAGTGTTCTGACCCTGGGGGTTTGCCTCCTCAGCTTATGGGGAGGCCCCTAGAGGCTGTCGTGATCCTTGCCCTAACACAGCATCCTAGCAGCTTCTGACCTGCGAGAAGCAAGTTCCCACCAGTTCACTTTTGCTTACCTGGACAGGTGGCTCAATCATTATCCAGGCTGGAAGCATGAGACTGGGATTGAGAGGCTGAGTTCCTACACGGAAGTAAACTCCACCCCTGGAATCACAGGCCCAGATGTGCTGATTTCCACATGCCAAGCTTGTCAGTTTTACAGCTCCTGCAGACAAATAAAGGAAAAGTACACACACTGGAATTACTTTTGTACAATGACTAATCTTTTATTTAATCTATGAACTTTGATTTTACACTTCAAAGAAAGAGATGAAGCCACACTTGTAGTTGGACTCTGAAACTGAGTCATCCGCTCTGTTCCAGTCCATCTATATCGGCTGTGTAGACTTGGTTGGACTTGAGACACTATAACTCAGGAGAGCTATGAAGGCTGTCCTGCCACTTGCCAGGTACCACATGGCACCTCTTCTAGACTATGAGCAAAGAAGTCAGGATGGTCTCAGCACAGTGCCCTGAGCCAAGCACTGGCATTTGTATCTCAAAGCGGGTCTCCTCATTAGCTTCATCAGACATGTGACTACTGCCAGCAAATTCTGGATTTGGAGAGAAGGAACTCATATTTCCAGGTATTCTTGATCCTAATTAGAATCAAGATTAACTGTCTAAGTTTCCCCAAGAATCTTCATTTTTATTTTTCTATTTCTCTTTGTTAATGGAATTGATTGTAAGAGGAAAGAAAACGGGAAGAGCTTTTAGAAAACAGAAATCAGCCGGGCTCGGTGGCTCAGCCTATAATCCCGCGCCTTTGGGAGGCTGAGGTGAGTGGATTGCCCGAGCCTGCGGGTTCGAGACCCGCCTGGGCAACTTGGCGAGACCTCATCTCTACAATAAATCAAAAACTAGCTGGGCATGGTAGCGCACGCCTGTAGTTCCAGCTACTTGGAAGCCTGAGGCGGAAGGATCGCCAGAGCCCAGCAAGTCGAGGCTGCCGTGGCCAGGAGCAGCCACTGCACTCCAGTCTGGGTGACAGTGTGAGACTCCAACTCAAAAAAAAAAAAAAAAAAAAAAAAAAAAAAAGGAAATAGCTGGGTGCAATGGCTCACACCTGTAATCCCAGCACTTTGGGGGAGGCACAGGCAAGAGGATTGCCTGAGCCCAGGGATTCGAGACCAGCCTGTGCAACTTGGTGAGACCTTGTCTCTATAATGAATCAAAAAAATAAGCTGGGTGTGGTGGCACATGCCTGTGGTTCCACCTACTTGGAAACCAGGAAACTTGGAAAGGTGAGGCAGAAGGATTACTTAAGCCGAGCAGGTCGAGTGCCACTGCACTCCAGTCTGGGCATTAGAGTGAGACTTAGACTGAAGAAAAAACACAAAACAAAACAGAAATTGACTGGGTGCCATGGCTCATGCCTGTAATACTAGCATTTTGGGAGGCCAAGATGAAAGGATTGTTTGAGCCCAGGAGCTCGAGACCAGCCTTGGCAATATAGTGAGACCTCATCTCTACAAACATAAAAAAATTAGCCAGGCATGTTGGTTGCACCTACAGTTCCAGTTATTTGGGAGGCTGAGGTGGAAGGATCGCCTGAGCCCAGGAGGTCCAGGTTACAGTGAGTTATGACCGTGCCACTGCTCTCCAGCCTGGGTGACAGAGTGCGATCCCCAACTTAAATAAATAAAAATAAATAAACAAAATAAATAAAATAATACGAAATAAAAATAAAAAACAGAAGTTACAGTTGAAGTAACTGACAAAAAGAGCAACAGTCAATAGTTACTGACAGCTGCTGTAGGACAAGCTCTCAGTTGAGTCTTTTATACCCTCATTTCAAACCTCACAACGACACGGTTATTATTATTCCAGGTCACACACGGGCCACTGAGAGCACATGGCAGAAGGCAGCTGAGCCAGGAGGTCAAAGGTCAGCCTCACCCTCCGCATCTGACCGCTAAGACTTTCCAGACAGGCAATGCACAGTTTTCAGTGTTCAGTTTTTTTTTTTTGAGGTAGAGTCTCACTCTGTCGTCCAGACTAGAGTGCAGTGGCTGCTCCTGGCCACCGCAGCCTCAACCTGCTGGGCTCCAGCGATCCTTCCGCCTCAGCCTTCCAAGTAGCTGGAACTACAGGCGCGCGCTACCACGCCCAGCTAATTTTTTGATTTATTGTAGAGATGAGGTCTCGCCTGCCCAGGCCGGTCTCGAACCCGCGGGCTCAGGCAATCCACTCACCTCAGCCTCCCAAAGGCGTGGGATTACAGGCTGAACCACCGAGCCTGGCTAAGCCCAATCAGTTTTGAGCAACTTCATCTCCCTAGGATGTTACTTCGAATCCCTTCCTGTCAGTGCCCTCCACCCTGCTAGACTGACTTCTAACCCTACCAGCAGTTCAGTCTGCTCTGGGGGTTCACATAACAGCATCACAAGAACAAGTGCGCTGATGTTGGGATTCCTTCACTCAGCACAATGCTGGCATCACCTCTCTTCATTGTATCATCCATCACACATGAATGCCACAGCTATTTACCCATTTACCTGTTGATAAACATTTGGGTCACTTCCACTTTTTACTATTAGGAGTAAAATTGCTATTATCATTCTTTGTTTTTGTTTTTTGGAATTGGAGTCTCACTCTGTTGCCCAGGCTGGAGTGCAGTGGCATGTTCACAGCCACCACAGCCTCGACCTGTTGGACTCAGGTGATCCTTCTGCCTCAGCCTTCCAGGCACATGCCACCACGCTGGCTAATTTTTTGATTTTTTGTAGAGATGAGGTCTTGCCAAGTTGTCTAGGCTGGTCTCAAACCTGTGGGCTCAAGCAATTCTCTCACCTTGGCTTCCCAGAGTGCTGGGATTATAGGTTTGAGCCATCATGCCTGGCGCTATAATCATCCTTATGGGAGGCTTTTTGTGAACATGTGTTGCTTTTCTTGAATAAATACCTAGGAGTGGAATTGGTGGGCCACAGGGTAGATATCTGTCTCACTTTTAAAGAAACTGCCCGTTTCCCCAAAGGCCATACAATGTTCCACACCCACAGTACCTGTAAGCTCTGGTGGCCACATCCTCACCAGCGCTCAGTGTGGGTGCCTTCTCTGTGTTAGTTGTTCAAGGAGGTGTTAAGTTGTATCTTGTCCTGGCTTTAGTTTGCATCTCCCTGCTAAGGAATGATGTTGAGGATCTTTTAATGTGCCCATGGGACACCTGCATAGCTTCTCTTGTGAAGTGCCTGTTCAGGTTTTTTGCCCATTTTTAAACCAACTGTCTTCTGGTCACTGAGTTAGAAGAGTTGTGTATATTCTAGATACTAGTCAGATATAGACATGTGTATTGTGAATCCAGTGTGTGGTCTGCTTTTCCATTTTCTTAACAGAGGTTTTTGATGAGAAGTTTTTAATTTTGATGGGTATTTTATTTTCCTTTGAGTCAGGCTTCACTCTATCACCCAGGCTGAAGTGTAATGGCATGGCTCACCACAACCTCAACTTCTTGGGCTCAGGCAATCCTGCTGCCTCAGTCTCCTAAGTAGCTACAGGTGTGCACTACCACACCTTGATAATTTTTTAAATTTTTTGTAGAGATGAGGTCTCGCTATGTTGCCCTAGGCTGGTCTTGAACTCCTGGGCTCAAGTGATCCTCCCACTTTGGCCTCCCAAAGTGTTAGGATCATAGGTATGAACCACTGTGTCTGGCCTCGATGGGTTATTTTTACTTTCAAGCACAGAAAAAAAGGTGTGCAGCTCCATTAGCTGGAGATGCTGCCTGAGGAGAGGTATGTAGAAAGATGCCCCATGAGGCTGGGTGTTGTGCTCCTGTGTAAAAACAGGGGTGACAAGACCAGTTGTCACTGATGTCAGATGACAGCCCAAGTGTGTGCACCAAAACATGCAGGTACAATTCTGCCAGGTGGAAATCCTGTCATGTGGCTTCATGTTGACATCAACTTAAGACTGTTAATTCGCTGCTACACAAAAGATAATTGTTATTCCTTTGTGCATTTTCTAAATTGGCGATTTCTCTAACATGGAAATTAACTGTATTTTTTCCTTCCTTGATCCTGTACAGAATGTCTTACCAGGCAGTTTAAATAGAACTCCCTGGAATTCTAACATTACATATGAGAAGATCTGTACCAGTCAAAATAAAGTACCTTCAGCAGTAAACTTTAGAAATAAGTGAGAAACAAATGCTAATTAAAAACAATTTTACATTAGCGTCTTTAACCTTTCCTGAGAGGAACTCTAGGCAGCAGTAATCATGCTAACAGAGTCACATGGTGACAAAAACACACTGGCCATAGCACAACCAGTAAAAAAAAAAAAGCTTTTAATGACCTTATTCAGCAAAGCAGATATTTTCCCTTGAGTATTAACTTTTACACATATATTGTAGGAAAAAAGTGGCATTTATTTGATGTTTTGCTCTTCATAAAACACTTTTCTGCATAAATTACTGTATAATATAATCACATTTGTTACTTAAAGGCATAAACTGACACAGAATATTTCTGTTTTCTTTTTTTTTCCTTCTCAAAGATCCAGATAGTAAAAGACACTGAATATTTCTTCATTAAATGTATGTCCTGATGAATTAAATTAAAAAATTTCATTAGTTTGCTAAGCATTCTAATGCCTGACATAATGCATATTTATGTGTACTGGGAAATGAAATGTTATGAACAACTTAAATATCTGCTAAGTGATGCAAATTTTCTCCCCCAAATCAGGAATGCAATAAATCACTGCAAAATTCCATATTCAGTCTCTACAACTGGCTTCAGTAGCCAACTATTTAAGAATTCTCTTAGTTTAATCTTAAAGCAGGAATTGACTTGGTAATTTGTATGGAGGCAGAAAGAAGAGGGATGCTCACTATATCTGAAAGAAAAATACTAATGGTAAAAATCTTTTTTTTTTGAGTTGGAGTCTCACTCTGTCGCCCAGACTGGAGTGCAGTGGCTGCTCCCGGCCACCGCAGCCTCGACCTGCTGGGCTCCGGTGATCCTTCCGCCTCAGCCTTCCGAGTAGCCGGAATTACAGGCATGTGCTACCACGCCCGGCTGATTTTTTGATTTATTGTAGAGATGAGGTCTCGCTGCCCAGGCGGGTCTCGAACCCGCGGACTCATGCAATCCACTCACCTCAGCCTCCCAAAGGCGCGGGATTACAGGCTGAGCCACCGAGCCCGGCGGTAAAAATCTTGTTCCTCACTTGATACTTCACTAAAGTCATCCTTGAAGCCAAAATTTTTGCTTGCAATTTAGAGAAGGCTTACAATGTCTCAGACCTGACAATGACCTAGCACTGCCCAAGGTCAATGCTGTCCCAAGGGAGTTCAGATCACACTGTCTGAGGGCTGCTCACCACCACTTACATCATCAGGAAGATGTGCTTTTGGTTTTTATGTTTTCAGTGTCGGAACACTTGTAAAGAAAGACTAAGGCTGAAGAAACAGGTAAACCTAACATCTCTTGCCTCATGCTGTGGCCAGGCTGATGGCAACTTGGAGCAAGAATTGAGATGTCCCCTGGGAAGGTTGAAGTGATGCCATCCACTGTACTGACTGGGAGATGACATTTCATCTTTGACTACCAGTAACACAGCCAAATGTGGAATCAAAACTCATCTCCCAGAATTACTTAGAAATGGAGGTGCAAATGATACCAACCTTCCCTGACATTTTAAAATCCTGCTGGGTATGGTGGCTTACACCTGTAACCCCAGCTACTTGGGAAGCCCAGGTGGAAGGATCGCTTGAGCCCAGGAGTTTGAGACTAGCCTGGGCAACATAGTGATACCCTATCTCCAGTTTTTAAAAAATCCAATAGGACACATACTGTAGCCAAGCATCTGGTCCCTGCCTACAAAGCCCCTCTACCCTCCATGCGTAAACACAAGTCAAACTTAAATGACTGTTTTTTGTTTTAAGAAATAGGGTCTTGCTATGTTGCCTAGGCTGGCCTTGAATTCCTGGCTACAGGCAATCCTCCTGTCTCAGCCTCCTGATTAGCCGGAAATGCCCAGCTCTGAAGTGGCTGCCGTAACAGGTGGAAGCAGAACGCTCAGGGAACACAGTGGAAGGGGGTCATAATGGGGACACTGAAGCAAGTTCAGGGGGAGATGGCAATCTCAGCTGAGTCCCTAAGGAAAAAGAGCTGAAGAAAGGAAAGTCAGGGAAGGAAATTCTAGGCCATGCGAAGAGAAGCAAAGAGCAGGTATGAAGGTGCACGGCACATCAGGGGCAAGTAGTAACTGGTGTCTGTAGCCCACATGGGGACTGGAATGGCAGGCTGGGCCAGGCTGCAAGGCCTCAGGCACCTGAAGCCCAGAGCTTTATTCCAGTGGCATGTGGTGCCATCCAGTGCTGGACACCACCATGCAAGCAGTGCTTGCGGAAGCCGGCTCTGGCACCGAAGTGGGTGGTGGGCACACCTGGGGCCATGAGATGGCTCCTACAGCAGAGCAGGATCATTGGGGACCCACCCTGGCAGTGGTAGGAGGGGAGGAGAGGACCAGACAGCAGGGAGACCCTCTGGGATGGATGGAAGGGGCACAGCGGACCTCCCGGCCCTAGGAGGACTCTGCCCTTTCCAGCAAAATTCAGTGGGAGCAGAGGAGTGTGGTAAGGAAAAAGAGCACATTTAGGGAAGGCTAAGTTTGAGTTCGAACAAAATCCTCAAATACAGAGTCAATCTGGAATAGGCCATGCTTCCATGCACTGTTGCGAGCACCCCTGCTGCTGACTTTTAAAAGAGCAATAGGCTGTGAGTGGTGGCTCACACCCATAATCCCAGCACTTTAGGAGACTGAGGCAAGAGGATTGCCTGAGTTCATGGGTTCGAGATCAGCCTGGGCAACATGACAAGACCTTGTTTCTACAATAAATCAAAAAATTAGCCGGGTGTGGTGGTGCGTACCTATGGTGCCAGCTACTTGGAAGGCTGAGGTGGAAGGATCATCTGAGCCCAGCAGGCCATGAGCATGCCACTGCACTCCAGCCTGGGTGACAGAGTGAGATGCTGACTCAAAAAAAAAAGAAAAACAGTAAAGCATGTCAATGAATTCCAGACAAGTGAAACATACAGCACTGATGTCAGCCAGGTGATGCTCCTTTCTATTCAATATCTATACCTGCTGATGACAGGCACATGTGGGGTCCTGGGCAGACAGCATACCTGAACTCAAAATCTGTAATCCCTCACTTAAATACCTAATGATAAAAATAAGTCTCTTGGCCACCTCACAGTACACAGACCACACCTGGAGAGAGCCCAATTGTGGAAGACCTGGTGCCTTTGGCCTGTTGTTGGCTGGCCCCCCTCCCAACCCCAGCACAGCAAAAGCCAGCACCCCTCCCATAGCGCCCTGCTCCCTCCCCACCCCAGCACAAAACCTACCAATTCTGGGCTTACTGCCCGCCTCAGGATGCTTAGAAAATGGGGGAAAAAGTCTTTATCCACCATTTCAGTATCAACCAGATAACCTGGATGAAGAAACAAGCCTGAAGCTCAGAGCAGGAGAGAGACCAGGAGTGGCAGCGCTTTGACAAGTGATTCAGGACTCACCCACCCTGTGATGTAAACTGGACAATGCACGGGGATTTGTGAGCTAGTGATGGCTTGAGAGCGCCCCCAAGCAGGATGCATCACAGCTTTCAGAATGCCACACTGCCCAGAGACAGCCGATGTGTAGACAGGATGCTGACCTGCCTTCTAGAGGGGCTGAGGTTAAGGACTGCTGCTCCCATTAGAGAGATGAACAAATTGAATTTAAAGGTAACATGCAGTTTGCCCAGGGTCCCGAGCCTGCCCTGGGTCCAGCTCTGCCTCTCCTCTGCCATGAGTCCCTGCACCTCTGGGTGTTATCACTTTGCGGGCTCAGCAGCCAGGACTCCCAGGCTGTTCCTCTGCTCCTGCACCCATGCCCTCAGTGAGCATCTGCTGAGCACCAGAGGGCCATGGCACATCTTGGACTCAGGATGGCCTTGTTCCTGCTCCCTCCCAGTCTTGAGTTGAGACTTAATTCTGCTGAAGCCAGTTTTCTCCCTAGCAAGGATGGCTACCTCCCCAGTGAAGCCCACACGTACAACTTTTAGACCTGCACCGCTCTAGCCAGCTACCGGTGCTGGGAGGATGAGACTGAGCCAGGACGGAAGCATGCGCCGTGCTGGAGGTGGGAGGCAGGAGCCCAGAGCCCAGGCAGGGCTGGTTCCAGCAGCATGGAGCCTGCCGCGACGCCTACTCACTCTGCACCCCACTGCAGAGCAGCAGTCCCTCAGAGGGGCTGAGCGGGGTGGTGCCAGGGAAACAGCTCTGCTTCTCACCCAGCCACGGGGATGAGCATGGCCTCCCACAGTGCTCACGATTCGGGAGTGGGCAGGGCACATCACACCCTGGCCTGTTCACCCCCCACAAGGAAGGAGCAGCATCTCCCAAGAGGTCTGGGTGGGTGCTGTTGAAAGGTTTGGGAGCAGGGGGTGTCTGAACAATGAAAAGGCTTCCCAAGACAGGCAGCAGCGTCGTCCAGCGCCAGCGTTCAGGCCACTCCCAGCCTCAGCCTTGCTGACCACTCACTCTTGGTACTGGGGCGGGGAGGGAGGATGCTCTCAAAAAGCTGGAAGGTGACTGGCAGGCTCAAGAGTCAGGAGGAGGCCCAAAGCATAAGTCATCAAAACTATCTGACAGTGATGCTTTGGAACAGAGCTTGCTTCTTCAGTTGAGCTGGATCATGTTCACGGGTCTTGTCAGACCCAAGAATGTGATGTCTACCCTGTGCCCTGTGGGTACCCCCAGGGCTGAGGAGACAGCACTGTTGGCTGGGCACAGGCCTGGCCAGGGCAATGCCTGCTTGACGGAGTGGCAAGACGCTGGCATCGGCTGGGGGCACAGACACTGCACCAGGGGCTGGAAGAGGAGGGGGACGACTGGATCTCTTGCTCTTCTTGTTTTCTTTTTCCTTGTGCTCTTTTTTTATTTTTTATTTTTTGTGAGTATATGTGGTTGAGTCCTCAAACATTAAATGCTTGTATAATGCAAGTCCACCACATGACAGAATGCTGGTTGTCAGCTCAGAACTTGGGAACCTCGCAGCAGAGAAGTGTTCCTGGGCTCCAGGCTCAGCCGACCTCGGCCCCACCCGTGCAGCCTCCATCTTCAGACAAACCACACCTGGGCTGCGAGGCTGAACAAGAATTTTCTCAGAGAATAATCTAATGTTGTGAGCTGATTTGATGATTTCTTGGAATGTGAGTAGATTATTTACCAAGAGCACTACATTTCTCAGCCTGCTCTGCGACTCTTGGGGGATGGCAGAGGAAAGTACTAGTCATTAGATACAGATCCCCTCTCCGATCTTGCTGGATGAGCGTGGACACCCACATGTTCACAGCCATCCTGCGCCAGGCGCTCTTCTGAGGAGACAGGCACTAATCCTGCCACAGGGCACACCCATTTAATCAGATGTAAAGGACACAAAGCTATGTCCCATATTCAGACAGACTGACAGAGGCAGCTGCACCAACAACACTATTTCAAGCAGCTCTTGGTGGCAACTTTATCTGAGTATATGCTCCCTTCTCAGGTTCTGAAAACCCTTTGAACTGTAAGGGCGGGGGAAGGGAAGCTCCTTGAAAAATCAAGAGGCCGCTGAATCTGAAAGCGTGGCCCAGTTGAGCTCCTGAAGTCCAGCAACCTACAAACATCACCTAAGAACTCACACAAGTTGAACATGGGCTGGGGCATGTTTGTCTGATACCACATCCTGATGCGGTTTTAGGGCCGTCAGGACACTGGCGCACGTACTCATGGGATGGCCATACCTAGCTGGGAGAGGTCCAGCCTGGTCCAGTGCATTCCTGTGGGGCAGCTCTTAGACAGCGTCCTGATGAACACCTGGCCAAGGCCGTCCACAGCCCACAGCGCATCCTGGCAGGCGGCGTAGGCCCTCATCTCAGCATCAGGCGGCAGCTGCACTGTGGATGGGCGGGACTGCGCACTTTGGGCACTGACGCAGTACAGGTCCTTGCTGCTCTGGCACAGCCACAAGACGCTTCCTGCGGAAAGGTTCACACTGGTCACCAACGTGCTGTCTGCACCGAGCCACCCACCTCAACACACAGGCAGCTCTTGCCTTCTGGCAGACACGGGACACCTGGCGTGGCTGTGTTCCCTCACCCATCCGTACCACACTTGCAGGAGCGGCCTATGCGCTTAAGTGAGAAGGCAGAGGGAAACACCATAACTGCTGGCTACAAGATACAAGCCTGAGACTTTGTCAAGAACTGGCAAGAAAGCAAGGCTTATGAGATTTCATGAGGGGAGTCATGGCTTAGCAACTCTAACCTCTCATTCTTCGTGGTCTGAGAAGTTTTTAACCTGAACAAAGGCACCAGAGCATTTTTAATATAAAATGCTAACTTTCACCAAAGGGAAAGGGCTATTGAATCAGTCTCCTGGAGGGAGTAAGGGTCAGCAGTTCCTGGGAAGGATGGCATCAAGGTGCGTTCCCTGTTCTTCTGGTAATAGGGCTGGTGGTAGAGCTGGTTGCTGGAGAAGATTCAGGAAGTTGGAAATCCTCTTCTCAGCCTTGTCCCCAAATTATATCCTTTCATTTCCTCTATTTTTATAAAGTACTTTAGATTTAATAGTTCCTACTTATTATTATCTATTTTGAAAAACAATTTTTTTTGAGTCAGAAACTCAGTCTGTTGTCCAGGCTGGAATGCAGTAGCATGATCATGGCCACCAGAGCCTTGACCTGCTGGGCCCAGGTGATCCTTTGTCTCAGTCCCCCAAGTAGCTGGATGTGTGCCACCATGCCCAGCAAATTTTTAAAAAAATTTTATTGTACAGATGAGGTATCACAAAATTGCCCAGGCTGGTCTTGAACCCCTGGGCTCAGGCAATCCTCTCGCCTCTGCCTCCCAAAGTGCTGGGATTACAGCCACAATGCCCAGCCCAGATCCTGCTTAAAATGCTTGGGAAAGCCAAAACCTTAGTCACAGTATGTTATCTAAAGTATTGCCTACAACTTGTGGCCAGATATGTTTTAGAATTCAAACTTTTCTCTGGATTTTGAAAACCTAAGGTAGGCTGGGTTTGGTGGCTCAACCTGTAATCCCAGCACTTTGGGAGGCCGAGGCAAGTGGATTGCCTGAGCCCGTGGGTTCGACACCAGCCCAGGCAACTTGGCAAGACCTTGTCTCTATAATAAGTCAAAATTAGCTGGGCATGGTAGCTCACACCTGTACTTCCAGCTACTTGGAAGGCTGAGGTAGAAGGATCATTGGAGCCCAGCAGGCCAACGCTGGGATGGCCATGAGAGTGCAGAGTCCAGCCTGGGTGACAGAGTGAGACTCCAATTCAAAAAAAAGGAAAAGAAAACCTAAGGTTTTCCATAGATCTAAGAGTATGCCATAGATTTATGTAACAGCATGGAGGAGGAACCGACAACTCCCCTAGCGAAATGCAATACTGCTCCTGTAGCAGCATGTGTGCACGGCCACCATCAACAGCACACACAGACTAAGCAGTAGGTTAAGGTTGCTGTGAAATTAATCTGTGCCAAACTTAAGAAAAAAAGTACTGTTTTCAGAGATTTCTGAATTTCAGAATTGTGGTCAGAACAATCTGCTGAGTAAAAATTAATTGTACTGACCAAGTTACCCACATCCTAGTGAGACTAATGGCTTTAACTAATCAAACTGCTTCCTCTTAACCACAGATTTCAAGGTGTCTTCTCATTTAATCCTCAGTGCAATTCTGGGAGGTGTACCTACTTTCCAGAGAGGTCAGCTAAACTACCCAGGGCTCCCAGCTAACTGGGGAACGGCATTGCCTTTCCAGGCTCCAAACCATGCTCTGTAAGGGACTGAGTTCTGCCTAGAGTGCACATCAGAAGTCCACCCCTGCAAGGACGTTCTGCCTAGCAGGGCTGCAAAGGAGGGACTTAGGTTAGCCAGAGGCTGTGATCAAGATGGCATGAGGCGCGAGAGGTGACAGGAAGACTCACAAGGGCAGATGGGAAGGCGCCTAAAGACGCTGTGGCCGGCCGGGTTTGGTGGCTCAGACTGTGATCCCAGCACTGTGGGAGGCCAAGGCGAGTAGATTGCGTGAACCTGCGGGTTTGAGACCAACCTGGGCAATTTGGCGAGACCTCCTCTCTACAATAAAAAAAAAATTAACTGGGCATGGCGGCGCACGCCTGTAGCTACTTGGAAGGCTGAGATGGAAGGATTGCCAGGATGACCGTGAGCATGCCACTGCACTCCAGCCTGGGTGAGAGAGTGGAACTCCAACTCAAAAAAAAAAAAAAGAAGCTGTGGCCCTGTGATGTGCTGCTGGAAGTCGCCTGCTGTCAGCCCCAGTGGCCACACTGTGTGATCCCCTCCTTTAGAGGACCCTGCGCCTGTGGGCTTCCTCGGCTTTACCATACTAGGTCCCTCTCAGTGGCTCTCCTGGTCAAGCCTATCCAGTTGTGGGGTCCGCGGCTCAGCTAACAAGGGTGACTGGCTGCTACACCACCATGTCTTCTGGCTCCAAGGTCTGCATAGTCACATCTCCATGACCAACTAACTAGGCCACAGTGAGACTGTGGTTTGAACTTCTTCAACAGCCAACCCATGCACTAGATTTTCAACCAGGCGAGGACTGACCCACCTTCCTTTGTGGGAGCAGCAGAAGCCAACACAAAGGCCCATTTTGTAGCAGAAGCTGTCCCACGGGGAACAACATTATTCCAGTAAGTGCCTGTAAAGAATAAAGAGTATGTCAAAGAAAGAAAAAACAAACCCGAAAAATAATTCAGAGCCTTAGTTCTAGACTACAGCTGGTCTTCAAAGCCTCTTCCAGCTAGTTCTGGTGTGTCCTTAAGTTAAGCAACATGAGACAACTCAGCCTGCCATTCATTTCTCTCTGAATACCATGAACCTAGCCCAGGGTCAGGGGAGGCCACAAAGGGGGTTCACTCACAGAAATGAACCCCCAGTCCATGTGGATTTACACCTACACTCAAAGATCTGGCCACAGCTTTGCATTTTCAACAGTGGCAATAATTTTCCCTCTAGGAAATGGACTGTTCTCTCTCACTAGGCTCTTTAGGTTTGAAGAGTTTTTCATTCAAAATGTGAAATTGTTAACAAAAAAATGAGCTCCATTTGTCTTTCTTATATCATAATAGATTTCTAGGGGAAACACGCTATGCAGCCACAGGGATTCAAGTGTTAGGAATAAGAGATTAAAACATGGCTAGGATTGATGGCTCATGCCTGTAATCCCAGCACTTTGGGAGGACAAGGTGGTGACCGCACCTGTAGTCTCAGTTGCTCAGGAGGCAGAGGCAGGAGGATTGGTGAGCCCAGGAAGCCGAGGCTGCAGTGAGCCATGATCATGCTACTGTACTTCAGCATGAGCAACAGAGTGAGAACGCCAACTCAAGAAAAAAAGATGCAAAAAAAAAGAGAGAGAGAGAACTGATCACAAAATATGAAGAGTGCCTCCATTCCAGGTGTCTCACACCACTGGCACTGAATTCTCTTTCCAAATTGAGATCTTAAAGCTTTTCTTTATTTTATTTTATTTTATTTGAGTCTGAGTCTCACTCTGTCGCTCAGGCTGGAATGCAGTGGCACACTCACAGTCACCCTAGCGTCGATCTGCTGGGCTCAGGTGATCCTTCCTCCTCAGCCTTCCAAGTAGCCAGAATTATAGGCATGCGATACCACGCCCGGCTAATTTTGTGATTTATTGTATAGATGAGGTCTCACCAAGTTGCCCAGGTTGTTCTCGAACCCGTGGGCTTCAGGCAATCCCCTCACCTTGGCGTCCCAAAGTGATGGGATTACAGGCTTGAGCCACCGTGCCTGGCCCAGATTAAAGCTTTCCTTTAAATGTTGGCTTTTTTTTTTTTAGTTGGAGTCTCATTCTGTCACCCAGGCTGGAGTGCAGTGGCATGCTCATGGCCACCGCAGCTTCGACCTGCTGGGCTCAGGCGATCCTTCTGCCTCAGTCTTCCAAGTAGCTGGAACTATAGGCATGTACCACCACGCCCAGCTAACTTTTTTATTTATTGTAGAGATGAGGTCTTGCCAAGTTGCCCAGGCTAATCTTGAACCTGTGGGCTCAGGCAAACCTCTCACCTTGGCCTCCCAAAGTGCTGGGATTATAGGCATGAGCCACAGTGCCCGGCCTAACTGTTGGTTTTAAAGTGCGGCCACCTATAAAAGCCAATGTGAACACTGAAGCACTTCACCCACCGATGAGACTTCCTTTGGCAACGTGGAATTCATTCTTGCCCGAGGAGATCCAGACGCCGCTGTTATTGACCCCTAGAAGGCTCGGCTGGCACTGGAGCTGCTGAGACCAAAACGCCATGCGTAGTTTATCCGCCACCTTTTCCACAGGTGCTTGGGCTGCTGTGGCCACCGAGTGTGTGGCGTGGATTATGGTCTGGAATAAGCTGCACTGGTCGAACACCACATAGTCTGTGATGCTCACCTGAAAGGAGTAGGTGACAGAAGCTCTGCTGTCAGTGTAGTTACAAGCATCACCTCCCAGCCTCCGCGGGAAGGTTCTGGCCCACAGTCACACTTCTGGATTTTTTTGTTTTGTTTTTGAGTTGGATCTCACTCTGTTGCCCAGGCTGGAGTGCAGTGGCACGCTCACGGCCACTGCAGCCTCGACCTGCTGGGCTCAGGTGATTCTTCCACCTCAGACTTCCAAGTAGCTGGAACTACAGGCATGTGCCACCATGCCTAATTTATTTTTATTTTTTAAAATTTATTGTAGAGACGGGGTCTCACCAAATCGCCCAAGCTAGTCTTGAAACCATGGGCTCAGGCAATCCTCTCGCCTTGGCCTCCCCAAGTGCTGGAATTATAGACGTGAGCCACCATGCCCAGCCACTTCTAGATTTTTAGTAACAAGATGCTCAAACATCCAACACAAATGTGCTCACATGTGTTTGTGAAAGGACCCAAAAAAGTGTTATCAGGATATCACCTGGCCACTTCTCTAAGTCCTTCTGAGGGTTGGATCTCAAGCGATAAAAGAAAATATTCACATTTTATTTTATACACTTTTACACTACATGGATCTGTTACAACAAACAATGGATTATTTTGTGTATTATTTTTGTGATTAAGTATCACCCCTCACACCTCTTCTGGGAAGACTTTTATTCATTTTGTTTGTTTGTTTGCTTTTTTTAGTTGGAGTCTTACTCTGTCGCCCAGACTGGAGTGCAGTGGCATGCTCACGGCCACCACAGCCTCAACCTGCTGGGCTCAGGCGATCCTTCCACCTCAGCCTTCCAAGTAGCTGGAACTACAGGTGCACGCCACCACGCCCGGCTATTTTTTATTTTATTGTAGAGACAAGGTCTCACCAAGTTGCCCGGACCAGTCTCGAACTCGCAGGCTCAGGCAATCCACTCGCCTCAGCCTCCCAAAGTGCTGGGATTACAGGCTGAGTCACCGAGCCCGGCCAGACTTTTATTCTAATCACAGTGAGAAAGAATAATTTTGAGGTCGGGCACAGTGTCTCAAGTCTGTCATCCCAGCATTTTGGGAGGCCGAGGTGAGAGGACTGCCTGAGCCCACAGGTTCAAGACCAGCCTGGGCCACATGGTGAGACTGTCTCTACAATAAATCAAAAAATAAGCCGGGCATGGTAGTGCGTGCCTGTAGTTCCAGCCACTTGGAAGGCTGAGGTGGAAGGATCGCCTGAGACCATCAGATTGAGGCTGCAGTGGCCATGAGCGTGCCACTGCACTCCAGCCTGGGAGACAGAGTGAGATTCCAACTCAAAAAAAAAAAAAAAGAATAATTTTGCTTTTAAATTCAGGTATTTCCAATGGACAACAGTGTGTAATACTTAGAGTGGTAACACAAGCTTAGAAAGGTATGACAAGTAGGGTGATGAACCCATTTATGATCTAAACTGGGGCCACTAATAATTATGCCAGGCCAGCAGCCTAACCCAGGACCAGTTTGGCCATCTAGAATCTAATCCGAGCTCAGGTGTATGGCCTGCCTCTAGAACTTTCCTGGAAAGTCTCTGTATAAACCTCTCAGACTCCTCTCCAGTCTCCTCCCTAAGGGAGACTGTTCTTCTCAGACAGCTCTGATGATAAGAAAGCTCTTCATGGGATGAGTCACCACTAGATTCTGCACAATTGTCCTCACATTTCTGCAGTGCTGGGTTTCATGGTAAAGAGCATCACGAACTTCAGTGCCCTGCCCCCTCACAGCCTTGTGTAGGCCACATCCCAGGCTGAGCACAAGGGAATGCTGAGTGAAAGTCACATCAATTATCACAGGGAAATTAATTAATTGATTGAGTTGGAGACTCACTCTGTCACTCAGGCTAGAGAGCTGTGGCACGATCATGGCTCACTGCAGCCTTGACCTGCTAGGCTCAGGTGATCTTTCCGCTTCAGCCTGGGAGTAGCTGGGACTTACAGGCACACTCCACCATGCCTGGTTAATTTTTTTAATTTATTTTTTTTTAGGAGATAAGGGCTGGCTATGTTGCCTAGACTGGTCTTGAACTCCTGGGCTCAAGAGGTTCTCTGGTCTCAGCCTCTCAAAATGCTGAGACTACAGGCATGAGCCACCATGCCCAGCTGGGAACCCAATTAATAATACACAGAAACACACAAGAAGGAGATTATTGCAAAAGTCAGTACTTTATCACATCCTAATACTGCTCTTTCTCATCTACAGAAGGACTCACACTGAGTGAGCCACTGCCCTAAGTGAATTTCCCCTGAACGGCTTTCGCCACACCAGGCCCAGCCCCGCTGCAAGATTCACAGCCCACCTGGCTAACACTCTCCCGTCCAGGTGCTCTGGAAACGAGCTCTGGGGACTCACAGCGTGCTGCCGACTGCTCAGTGAGCTCAGAAATTCCTCAGGTGTGTGCTGCCTACAACACTAAAACTTACCCAGGGAGCAGTGACTCTGCTAAGACCACATGAGTCTGTGACAGACTCAGTCTCAGCATCCAAGATATGTAGATACGCAGGACAAAAATATAAGAAAGTAAAGAAAGGTCTTGCAGACAAACATAACACTGGCGCTAGCATTACAAGGAAGTCAATCTTATGGTATTTAAAATAACTCCCCTTTCAAGTACTTTTTTTGAGACAGGATCTTACTCTGTCCCCCAGGCTGGAGTGCAATGGCATGATCATGGTTCACTGCAACCTTGATCTCCTGGGCTCAAGGAATTCTCTTGCTTTAGCCTCTTGAGTAGCTAAAACTATAGGTGGATGTCACCATGCCCAGTTAATTTTTAAAAATCTTTTCTAGAAACAGGGTCTTGCTATATCTCCTAGGCTGGTCTTGAACTCCTGTCAATCCTGCCATGGCCCTCCCGAAGTGCTGGGATTACAGGCATGAGCCACTGCACCCAGCCCTAAGTACTTGAAAGATGGTTCTGTCAAATTAAATTTCTCTGAAGTTAATGTTCTGCATGATAAAATGATATCTAGTTTTATGATATTTAAAAAACAGAATTTAGCATATATACAAATAGATGTGTATACATATGTGTGTGTGAGTATATACATATATATAGTTGCAAGTACAGAGAATGTATTTTAAAATTATTTGCATAATTTTATCAAATATTAACTAGCAAATCAGAGACATATGCATATTCACCAAAGAGCAAGCACAACTTATTTTCCCCATTCTCATCTGAAAGACTGAGGGCAGTCAATGCAAGATAAGCCTTCAACAAGGCAAGTCTGAGATGACAAAAAACCTGAACCCACAAGACCAAACATTCAACAAGTGATATTGCATGCTTCACAACTGCTGACTGTTAGAGCAGCTTTACCCTCCACAGAGGCAGACTGGGAGCTGCACTAACACTCAGTGGTACCAGAGGGGGGGAGCAGACACTCCTTTGAAGACTCATTCTAGGCCACTCTGGTTGGGCCCAAATCACATGAAGTTAGCTTTATTATACTTCTTTCGCATTTCTCAAAGCACTTCCTTTTCTGGGAGCAAGTGGGAAAATTCTCCTTTCTTTGCTAAAAGGAAAGATTTACTTAGAGGCCTTCAGCAGAGACAGCTGAATTTTAATTGTGGATTGGGTTTTCAAACCTATTATCTAGGCTCTTTTCTTAGCACATTTGTTCAAAATTAAACATCACTATTACTTAGGTCTTCAAATGGCTGTCACTGGGCTTGCCTATAGCAATAAACTTCCAGACAACATCAAAGTAAATAAGTAAAGCCTGCATTATTTAAGCAACAAGAGCTTTGCAAGTTATGATGAAAAGTCCTCGATATTTCTAATGTACTCAAACAAAGTAGAATCCAGCAAATAGTAAAAGTGAAAATTATTATTAACTTAATCCAATATCTTTATAGAAAAGAGAGATAAAACAAGGAGGTTCAGAACCCCCATGTCAGGGAGACTCTGGCATGTGGCTCAGAGCTGAATACCTACTTGCCACCAGTGGTCATCATCTCCTTGGGGCTTCTTGGAAACCACACCAGTTCTGAACCACAGGTTTCCGTGGATATCCAGGGCCCAAAGGGTCTGCTGATCCCCGAGAGTTATACAGACAGGCTCTAAAGCTTGCCTTTCACTGAAAATGAGGAAGAGAACACAGAAGTCAGCACCTCAAATGCAGAAAGCCAAGCGGGCATCGAGTGTCTCATGGTGGGCTTGCTGTGCTAGAAGAAATGTGACCCTACTTACAAGTAGCGGATCATCAAGTGCCAAGGAAATGTCTGAGTTTCATTACTATGCAATATAAATGGGTCAAATGGGTGAAAGCTTCTGAAAGGCATACTGAGAACCCCACAGAACAGTAAGAAACGCTCTTGAAAGGAAAAAAACTAAGTAAAAAATGAGCAGACAAAAGAAATCTAAGGCCTATAAGCACCTCTCTATGCCTCCTTCCCCAAGGGAGTATGTGTGAACACCCCCACCACGCCAGGCTGCGGTATGCAGCAGTCCCTGGGCAGATGCTGCCCTCTCTGCTAGGGATGCCCTTCCCATCCTTCCACCTGGGAAGTCCTCATCAGCTTCGAGGATTAGCTGTGGGAACATTCCGCATGCTGCCTTTCTGACCTCTGCATGTGAAGTCCACAGCTTCCTTGGTGCTGCGTGCACCACACGATCAATTAGGACCATCTGAACTGACTGGCGTCCATCTGAGCAAGGGGACCCCCCACTAGACCAGGAGCTAGTGAGGGTAGAGCAAGCCTCAGCATATTTCTGGCTCTTAACAGGTATTCACTGCAAGTTTACTGGGTTGCTAAATTAAACCAAGAATATACTAATCTAGTTTATCTAGGGGCTATTAGTACTTTCACATTAGTAAAATGATTGGATGGCAATTCTATAACTGTAATCTTTAATGGTAAAACCAGCCTAATAAATTAGAGTTCAGAGATCAGTTTCAATTGACTAAGGTGAAAATAAAGAAAAATATTTGGATAAAAGCCATCACAGACTCTAAATAGAAACTATCTGAGTGGGCAGTTCTGAGTAGACTGTCATGGCAGACTCATGACTGTATGATGTGCAGGGATATACAGAGAGCAGTAGCACATTTATTTATTTATTTATTTAGAGTTGGGGTTTCACTCTGTCACCCAGGATGGAGTACAGTGGCATGATCACAGCTCACCATAGCCTCGACCTCCTGGGCTCAGGTGATCATCCTGCCTCAGATGCCCAAGTAGCTGGGACTACAGATGTGCGCCACTACATCCAGCTAATTTTTTCACTTTCACGTAAAGGTCTGGCTATGTTGCCCATGTTGGTCTCAAACTCCTGGGCTCAAGCGATCTTCCTGCCTTGGTCTCCCAAAGTGCTGAGATTTTTTTTTTTTTTGAGTCAGAATCTCGCTCTGTCGCCCAGGCTGGAGTGCAGTGGCATACTCAAGGCCACCGCAGCCTCGACCTGATGGGCTCACACAATCCTTCCACCTCAGTCTTCCAAGAAGCTGGAACTACAGACGGGCGCAACCACGCCTGCCTAACTTTTTGATTTATTGTAGAGATGAGGTCCGCCAAGTTGCCCAGGCTGGTCTCAAACCCCTGGGCTCAGGTAATCCTCTCACCTCAGCCTCCCAAAGTGCTGGGATTACAGCCTTGAGCCACTGCGCCCAGCCAGTGCTGGGATTATATGTGTGAGCCACAGCACTCCGCCAGCAGCACTTTTAAAAACTGAGTTCTGACTCAGCATCCAGTCCATCAGTCAGAGGCAGGCACAGACTGTCTCCAAGATCATGCTTCTGAAATCAGCTCTGACAATTCAAAAGATTACTGTTACCAAGGAACCTGTAGGGGGCTGGCTTTGCCCAGGAACAACCCACACAGAGAACCAAGCTGACAAGAATGGAAGGCGGGACAAAGAAGATGGCAAAGAAGTCCTTCCTGCCACCAGTACCTGACGATGTCACACTTCCACTGCTCCCCTTCAGGACAGAAGCTACTCACGCCCTCCCGGTATAGGAGGGCCCTCTGCTCCGTCAGCGCCCACACCACGCTGTTCCGGGCTGTGATCTGGGACAGCGGGTAGGGACAGTCGACCTTTACGGCTCTGGCACAGGGGCGGTCCACGCTGAGCCCTGCCAGGGAGATGGGAAGAAGCCCCCAAAGACACACAGTCAGGACTCCACACCTCATTTTGACTGCTGTTGGCCTTTTAAAATTTTTTGGTATTTTGCTATGTTCTTTCGTAATGAGTGCTTTTTCATCTTAAAGTTTAGTTTACATCGAGTGGTTCGATTCTTCCTCAGTGTAACATCAGCCGGAAGCAGTTTTAGGCACTCTGAAAATTGAAGGCACGACAATTTGGAATTCTCCAGAGTCCCAAAGTAGCTTAAGAAGTTCTAAGAGAAGAACACGGAAGTCAGGAGCAGGAGCACAGCCGGTGGGGCCAGAGGCTGCAGGGCCACAGCAGCCCTTCAGCGTGTTCTGTCGAGCTCCTCAGACCCTCGGGGGAGCAGAGGGCCTCAGTACTGCTGGGGTTGGCAGGAACCAAGGCTCCAGCCATCCCTGCAGAGAGCTCCGGCATGGCAGCTGCCCCTTCCTCTGCCCTTGCCTGGTGCAGGCTTCTACTGCTCAAATAAAACCCCCACATTTCCCAGAGGAAATCTGAAATTGCAAGTCTGTTGCAGGTCATAGCTCAGGGTCCCCAACTCCTCGTCCATCCAGGGCTCTTTCCCTCTCCTCCTCGCAGCCTGTCAGCAAAGTATCTAAAGGACCTCTAAGGCCATTCCTGGGGGAACTGGAAGAACAGCTGTCACCTCAAACCCTGTGTTCCATGGCCTGAGCCTGCAGTTAGGTCTCAGTACTCACAGTTGCTCCTTGACTGATCACAGAAGCACCCTATGGCACTGTAGTCCTTGGGTTATGTTTCCTTGCACTAAACTAGCGGGAATCTCCTGCAGGACTTCCTCCACCACCAGCTTTTGGGGCAACCTCATGACTTTAGTTCCACAGATCTGTGGGGTGCTGGGCTCATCTGAAACCACTGTCCTCTGGCACTCCTGGCTAAGAGGTTACCCACTCCTCATCCCTGACCAGAAGCAATCCCTTTCCCTGCTCTGACCAACACGTAAATGTCCTGGAAGCTAGATGTGTCTGTGCCTTGCCAGAGTTTAAAAAGAGGCACAGGAACTAGGCTGGAGCGATCTGGACCAGCACGTGGCCCATGAAGCTGGCAAGGTGGCCTACAGGGGCTTGGGGTTCTTTCATATCTGGGAGACAGCCAGATGCACAAGGGCTTTCAATCTCAAGAATCATCCCCAGCTGACGGTTGATTACAGAGATTAAAACATTCTCTTGGAATCAGCAAGATTAAATGGCTAGAAGATTGATCTTTATATAAATCCAACATGGTTTCTTGACAACCCAAAAGAACTCCTGTTCCACAATGCATCCCAGATACTGATAAATCACACTGCTTGTGGAAAATCATTTTCCATTTTGCTGACAGTACATAAACACCGACTCTCATTACAGTTTATTTCTAATAAACAAGTCCCACTGTGCCACTCCAACAGCTAAAGGCTTCCCTACGGGAGGTTTCCCAGGACTAGTTGAACTGCTATTTAGAGCAAATTATTTATTCTTGTTTTTTCCTTGACCCACATATAAACAAGTATTCAGGAGCTGGGCTTTGACCTGGCTGAAAAAGATGCAGCCAATTAAGCATAAAAGGGGAAACAATTCTAGTATCATTTCTCTGTATTCTTTCTTTGGAAGAATGGATATTGCAGAAGTGATGTGTAACGCTCAGCCCTGGGAGAATATGTTTCTGCTTCTGTAACTCACCGAATAATCCTATTAATTTTTGCCCTAAATTTGTCCTGGGTTGAATCTGTGTCAGCAGCAGAAACTGCTAATACATTCCAAATGGCAATTACTCTTTCCAGAAGTGTCTGAGTTTAGATGAGTTTTTAGCCTCTTCGTAGCTGTGGTTGTTATAAGCATGTTACTAACCAAGCAGGCTGCAGCAGAGCCAGTGGGCACCTACACATGGTCTGCAATTACCTGTCTGGAGGTACAGATCCCCACTTGTCCTGATGATCCAGGCTGTGTCATCACTCAGGGCCACAAACACCGCCTGGGGCAGGGCTTCATACCAGTGCCGCTTCCCCTTGATGGTGACCTTTCCACAGGCAAAAGCTCGATTAGATTTCTGTTCAATCTTCCAGAGAAGAGCTCCTGTGGAATTAAAATTCTATTCACTAACCAATAAATATTAGAATTAGTTACACAAAAAGCTTCATGCTGGCACTGAGGGCAGGGGAGGGTTCTAAAACACACCCTGTTGCTTCCACCCCACGTGGGGAAAAGTGCCAGGGTCTGAACGCTTGGCAGCTCCCTACCAGTTGTGTGGCTTTGGGCATCAAGTCACTCACTGGCTCCAAGTCTCACTTTCCTCATCTGTGAAATGGGGATCATGTCTACCTTACAGGGCTGTTCTAAAGCCTGGAGGTGAGAACAGATCTGGAGGTGAGACCAGATCAACGACACAGCCACAGAGCTGGGCACACCGCAGGAAGAGAAGCACTGATGACGTTATTAGGTCTGAAGAGTTAAGTCTTCATCATGAGGTACAGGAGAGCAGGAGAGATTGGAAAAAGTACTTTAGGGACTAAAAGGGAAAAGTCGCTTCTGGAATAGCTAAACGGAAAAGACACACAAAAAGGACCATTCCGAACAGATAGAGGAGAGAAAGAGAGAGGAAAGGAAGAGAGGAAGGCACCGTAGATGGAGGTGTGGTACAGGCTGACACGGGCAAGGCGAGGGACCACCAGGGTGCCTATGGCACCCCAGTCCCAGGGCTTGAAACCCACCAAACACATGGGCCCTGTCTCTGGACCTGATGGACGTCTCAGCTGAGCACATTAATTTCATGGAGATGAAGGCTTACAAATAGCATGAGGGACCAAAGGGTTTGGAAATGCAAGGTAACATAAAAAAAACCCACAAGTTTATAAACTGCTGGGAAGATAAGCCCAAAGTTAAACGACAGAACAGGAAAATAATTCACATGCCAGTTGATGAAGTAGTTTACTATTTAAGCCAGTCACTAGGGAATAATATTTTTCAAACAATCAGTGAAAGAAAGCAAGCAAAACAACCCTGAACAAACCAACATTTTATTTTATGGTTTTTTTTTTTCTTTTTTTTTGAGTCAGCATCTCAGTTCTCACTCTGTTGCCCAGGCCAGAGTGCAGTGGCAAGATCACCATAGGCTTGACCTCCTGGCAATCCTCCCACCTTGGCCTCCCAAAGTGCTATTACAGGCAAGAGCCACAATGCCCAGCCCAAATTAGTATTTTATTTTTATTTTTTTGAGCTGGAGTCTCACTCTGTCGCCCAGACTAGAGTGCAGTGGTCACTCCCGGCCACCACAGCCTTGACCTGCTGGGCTCCGGCAATCCTTCTGCCTCAGCCTTCCAAGTAGCTGGAACTACAGGCGCATGCTACCACGGCCTGGCTCATTTTTGATTTATTGCAGAGATGAGGTCTACCAAGTTGCTCAGGCGGGTCTCGAACCCGCGGGCTCAGGCAATCCACTCACCTCAGCCTCCCAAGGCATGGGATTACAGGCTGAGCCACCGAACCCGGCTCAAATTAGTATTTTAAATAGTGACAAAGACCAGGGAGAGTTAAGGGAATTCATCCTGAAACTCAGTGAAGTCACAGGGGACAGGTCAAAGCCACAGACTCGGTCTTGTTTAACTTCTACAGTAGGTCCTTATGGTCTACCGGGTTACTCCAAGGCAAAAACAACCCAACAGGAAGAGGTGCAGAAGTGGCCAACGTGAAGCAAAAACAAATGTGCAAATGATTCCAGGCAGATAAGGCAGGCCTTTCAGCCTAGCAGAACCTTATTCAGGAAATGTCAGCCCCAATTCACTAAAAATGGCCTAGCAGTGGCATGACAGATGAATGGACTTTCTTTTTATAGTCAGGGAGTAGATTATTTACCCAGAGCAGATAGCTCATTAAATCAGAGTTTCTAAAAAGGAAGTCAAATAATTGAAATATATCTAACATATCCATGGGCTCATCATCTTCCTTAATTCAGTTGCTTTAAAGTAACACTGAGAAACAGAAACGTGTTGTTTTCATAAGGAGTTAGTATACTAATGTCCCTTTAGAAATCCCTCAAAATTCAAACTTTTTGCCTGGCTCACAGAAATTTAATCATAGGCTACCATTGCAATTAATAAGGAAAATAAAAACTCCAACTGAACACCCATTTACAGTATTAATGTCAATGAAGTGATTCTCGTTCTCTGAGGAAAAATCCCCTCAGAACTTCAGGAAGAGGCAAGTCTGTAAACCCACAGCTGCTGTGGGAGGTCACTGGCTAAGATGTCTCTGTACCTGAGCTGGGAGTAGGGCCCAGGACACGAACCTGAAGGTGAGACTGCCACCTGCTGGACGGTGTCTTCAAACTTCTGCCAGCGCAGCCCGGCACCCGGCAATGCACTGCAGAACAGGCCACCTTTGTAGTCCAGACACCAGATGTACTTCTCGGAAACCACCAAGCTGAGGATGCCATAGCCGGGACCCGAGTAGCCCATCCAGCTTTCTGCAAACTAACAAGGGCAGAGGTGGTGAGTCCTGCAGCAGAGAACACAGCCACACTCGCCAGATTGTTGCCAACAAGAAAAGCAAGTTGAGTATCATAAACATAAGACAGCGAAAGGGTCTTTGAGAAGCCAGGTGGGAACTGTCCTGCTATCTTTGGACACCCTTCTAGAAACATTCTGAAATGGGAGCTGTTGTCCCCTATAAAGACCCCATAATGTCCCTGGATAACACTGTCCTGTTATAACACCCTTCCTGGTGGAATGTTTAGAGCATTATGTCATGTTACAAAAGATCTAGTTTCATTCTATAGTATATCTCATTTTACACAACAGGTACACTCTTCAACATTTGCATGCAAATCAATTTTTGGGAGTCTAATCATGAACGATGCACTGGGGACACAGCTCTACCACGATCTTTTTTCCCCCATTTTTTTTTTTTTTTTTTTTTGAGTATGGAGTCTCACTGTCATCCAGGCTGGAGTGCAGTGACAGGCTCACAGCCAAGCAGCCTAGACTTGCTGGGCTCCGGTGATCCTTCTGCTTCTGCCTTCGAAATAGCTGGAACCACAGGCGTGTGCCACCACACCCTAATTTTTTGATTTACTGTACAGACAAGGTCTCACCAAGTTGCCCAGGCTGGTCTCAAACCTGTGGGTTCAGGCAATCCTTTTGCCTCTGCTTCCCAAAGTATCGTGTGGGAAAGGTTGGTGGAAGCTTGGCCAAGACACCCTGTCTGATTAAGTTTTATAGACTAAGATTTCATTGCTAAGATTCTTTTTAAAAATCAAAGCTAAATAAAGTCTTTGTACTTTAACAATCTTCTAAAACTGCAAAGGAATTCAATGTGTTTGCACAAATACCCACATAGAAGTTAACCACTTCAAAGAGATGGTGTCCAACCCTTCTCAATCCAGCCCTGCTCACCATAGTAAGTGTTATCCCCCAACCTGATGCCCCCCAAAAAAACACACCACAACATTTTTTTGGCTATTCAGCTACTTGGAGGAGCATGAGGAGAGGAGGAAGTTGGGCAGGGGCACTCCAAGGGCCAGGATCCCCCTCGCCTAAGGGCTTTCCTAAATGTCTGACCTAGATTCCCAATACCCCATCCCAAGGACGGTCGGCCTGGCTGATACCCAGTCCCCATCTGGCTGCCAGGCATGGCTTCCCATAGCCCTGTACTCTGCTCAGTACACTCGCCTGAGTCCAGCACCACTGTGAGGATCTGAACATGCATCTGGCTCTCCCTTGAGACTCTGAGGCCAGGAAGACGGGACCCACCATTGGCTGCCATCTGCTCTGTGGGATCCCCTGAACAAACACAGCCTGACTGTCAGGAACACTCAAGAACCACTGGGCTGAAAAGATGAAGGCAGGGGGACTGCATAAAAGGCCCACCCTTCTGGCACTTTGTCTTGAAACAAGGAAGGGATACTTTTCGCTTTGGAAGCATGGCAGCAGAGGATGAGGCTGACGCTGGGGTGCACTCTGCCCTTCACTTGCCGTGTGGCCTTGTGCAAGCCATTCAACTGTTCTGAGCCTTGACCTCCTCAGCTATAAGTTGGGGACAACAATAGTACCTATTTAGAGTTTGTTTTCAGAGAAGTAAATGAGTTAAGCATCTAAAGGGCCTGGCAGGGGCCTGCACACGGGGAGACCTGGCCGCGTGTCATACACTGACAGTGTTGAGAATCCAGCAGTGCACCTGGGGAAAACACACGTGGCTGCGAGTGCACAATCACAACCCAACCCTCCCATTCACAGTTGGTAGGAAATGTTAAAGGTCACAGATATATTCGAAACCAAATGCATCTAATAATAATATTTGCTAAGGGGAGTAAGCACTTTTAAAAACCCACTTTTTAGTATAAATTGTCTAAGACCTACAGGAGACTGGATAGCCCAAGCCCAGCTCCTACAAAGTCAGGAGACAACATCCCAGAAATGGCCCCCATTCCTGTGAGGTGACTGCTGGGAAGGAGAGGAGAGGCCTGCCTTCAGACTGCTCAGAGCTTTCTCTACTCCACGAGTGGACAGTCCTCGGCCCACTGTTTTGCTCAGATGGCCCCAGGCCAAGCCACACTTCCCTAAGATGGCAACACAATGTGCCTACATTGGCCTGCATTTGCTGGGTCAGAGTAAACAGCAAAATGCTACTTGGTTGGTAAAGCAGTATATGTCAGGTCAGAAGTCATTTAGGTCACTCACAGTCCCTGTGCTGGAATTCCCCCAAGCAGTTGAATGGCTTGCACAAGGCCTTCACTTGCTATGCAACCTTGTGTAAGCCATTCAACTGTTCTGAGCTTCGACCTCCTCAGCTGTAAGTTGGGGACAACAGCAATAGCTATTTTATAGTTTGTTTTCAGAGAAGTAAATGAATTAAGCATCTAAAGAGCTTGCAGTAGGAATATAATTTCTTTCCATAAGAAGAAAAATAATGTTTCGCCAGTGGTTCCCCTTAAGAAAGAAGGTAGCCTGAGGTACGTTTCCCCCTGCCTGAGCACATACCTGATCTGACTTGAGCAGCCCGGTGTCATCTGCACCTGGCTGGCTCAGGTCCTGCAGGGAGCGACTAGCTCCAAGCTCTGTCACACTCGTTTCTGAGGATGAAGAAGGAAGCCCGTGGGCGTAGATGTCCTCCTCGTCGCTGGATGTCAATACCTGATCCCGTGAAGGTTGCTCGAGCCAAGGCTTGTGAGTGCTGGCTGCCAAGGTAGAGACTGGAGTCAACCGTTCTGTCACATTTCCCAAGTCACATTCAGAAGCAGATGCTTCTCTCTGATCTGTGTCAACATCAGTGACAGCATGCTCAGGATTTGAGCTGAGATGGTCGGGAGCCCCCACGTCAGTCAAGATGCCATGCTCTTTGCCAGACTCCTCAGTGTGGCCTTCGTCAGCTCTGGGCCCAGGCAGCCGCTGCCCAGTACTCGGGGCCCAGCTGCGGCTGGAAGGCACCAGGAGTGAGTTCAGGAGGGGGGCTTCAGAAAGAGCGCAGTGGGGGTCATCAGGTTCCACATCCTCCCCCTCTTGTACCTCAGCAGACCTGTCCTGTTCTTGGAAGGGTAACCGTCTGCTATGGGGCTCATCACCTGCCAGAAAAGGCTCCTCTTCGAGTGCTGTGACATCACTGCCTTCCTCATCGTCCCTCGGGAGCAAGGGTAAAGTCAACCCTCTGTTGAGTGGCTCCAGCTCGCACGCATGGCTGCAGTGTGGAATTTCGGTTCTAAAGTCACTCTCCTCGTCCAGGAAATGTGGAGCTGATGCAGGCACCTCCAGGACACTAAACGTTTCAGGGTCAGTGTCTTCCTGCAAGTCACCACTCATCTCACCACTCAGGTGGTTTCCCGGCTCCGGAGACTCTGTGCTCAGCTGACCCACACTACCCCCCAGGACACTTGAGGCCACGGACAGCAGGTCTGTGCTCAAGGACTGGGGACTCTCGCCAGCAAACTCAGAGCACGGAGTTGACTCGAGGGAGCTGTGACCAGGGTTTCTGCTTCCGCCTTCTAATTTAAAATAAGAACACTCAAAATAAGCTATGGCTCTACATAAGTAGTAAGAAACTAATTCAAAAACAAATTTTTGGCTCAAGAAAAAAATATTTTAAATGAGCATATCCAGTGCTAAACATAAAATGTCCCATCTATTTACCAGCGTTACTATGTTCACAGGATCTCTGGCTTCATAAATGGTATACAAGGATAAATCAACATTTTAATTTAAATATTGAAAAGCACGAAACCCAGACCATTTAAGTGAGGTGGTGAGTACACAGGTGTACTGTATTCTATCATTATTTCAACTTTACAGATGCATGTATATGTATTCTCTGTAAATGTGTGAACTATTTCATGGTAGAACTTCAGGGAAGGAATGTATTCATTTTCTGAAGATCTTCTCTGCTTTTCCATGAATGTGCCAGTGCTCATTCAGCAGGAAGCAGTATTTCTAGCATGGGGAGATACATGGCATTCCCAAAGAAGTTGGGAAGACTACCCTGATGGAACCGCATGAGCTGGGGTGCTTAGCTACAGAGGGTACCTGTCTTTTTCTTCTTCCTCTTCTTTTTCACTTTGATAGGTTTCACAACAAGCTCCTGGTCGAAGTCTTCTGAGCTGATAACACTGAATCTCTGTGAGGAGGGCTGGCTGCTCTGGCTTAGCTCAGGGGTGGCCTGGAGCCCGGGCGGCAGTAGCCCGGAGCTGCTATCGGTGGAGTTGAGTGAGCTGCTCCTGCTCCTCGGCTCGCTGGCCACAGAGCTGGCCACGGAAGAGCCTCTGAGCCTTGTCTCAGAAACTGCGGCCCCTGGCGGCTTCTCCACTCGCTGCACGTGGACTCGCTCTGCGCATCCTGATACCTCCAGACCATCTCTCACTGAGAAAGAAGAGCTTGGTCTTACTATGTGTTACCCGAGAAAGTCGACGTGTACTTTCAAGGTTGCTAGCCCTGAGCGCCAGTTCTCACAGAGGGAGCTGAAGTTCGGGCCTGCCAGAGAACTGAACTCCATATTCACAGAAACTAGCACGATGAAAAGAATTGCACAGGAGAGTCTAAGAAATGAATTGTGCTCTCCAGAAAGCTCATCCATCAAAATCAGTAAAATAGCTGGACACAGCTGTCTCTTGTAAATAACTCAACAGTAAGGGAAAACCACTAAGACCATGGAACTTCTCACTTCTGTTTACAAATTCTTTATAAAGAAGAGATGCCTATGTGTAAAAAATAGCTTAGCTATACTTCTTACTTAAGACTATTTTATTATTATTATTTTTAAAATATTCATTATATAAGACTATGACTTTAATATTACTCAAATGGCATTTGAAAAATCTATGTGTACCTATAATTAAATTTCTTGAAGTTCAAGGAGGGAAAGGTAACTTTCCACCAGAATGACTCAAGACAGAGAAGTGCATTTTCAAAGTCAGCGCCAGGTGGAGAGGAGAGTGAGGAACAGGAACAGGAGCTGTTCCACCCTTCCTGCGGGCAAGCTTCCCACTGCAATGGCCACATCCATCTCAGCATGACACCACAGAGCCATCCTCTTGTGATCAAGGATCCACCATGTGCTGGACACAAGTCTAGGTGCGGGCATGTGGCGGTCAGCAGATGCAGGATTCCTGCCCTTGTGGCACCAACATTCTGCTGAGGGTTGTCTGTTAGGAACAGACTGTAGGCGACAGAGTGTAGGGACTGGAAGGGCAGTAACAGTTCAAAAATCTTATGGAAGATTATCCACCTTAACGGCAGGGCTCATCAAGAGCTGTGCTGTCCAATATGGCAGCCGCCAGCCACTTGTAGCTATGCAGATTCAAATTCGGTAAAATTAAACACAATTTAAAATTCTGTTTCTCAGTTGCACTCACTACACTGTAAGTACTCAGCAGTCACTTGTGGACAGTGACTACCTACCAAGCAGTGCAGAAACAGAGCATTTTTTTTTAGTTGGAGTCTCACTCTATCACCCAGACTAGAGTGCAGTAGAACGCTCATGGCCACTGCAGTCTCAACCTGCTGGGCTCAGGTGATCCTTCTGCCTCAGCCTTCCAAGTAGCTGGAACTAGGTGTGCACCACCATGTCCAGCTAATTTTTTGATTTATTGTAGAGACGAGGTCTTGCCATGTTGCTCAGGCTGGTCTTGAACCCCTGAGCTTAGACAATCCTCTTGCCTCCACCTCCCAAAGTGCTGGGATGACAGGCGTGAGCCACTGTGCCCGGCCAATACAGAGTATTTTTATCACTGCAGAAAGCTTCCTGGGCAGCAGTGGTCAAGACTTAGCCTCATAGCTCCAAGCCACGACTCTTTCTGCAAGCCTCACTGCCCTTGATCATACTGTCTGAGGGGTCCCCAGCTCATGAACTCAACTATCAGAGCTTATTCACTTCCTATAAAAATTATGGTTCTGGAATATTCATTCCAACTTGCCCTCTATGACTGAAGAGGAGGAGAAGGAGGAGGGTGAAGGGGCCCATACAGCTGTTGTGATCACCTTGAGGAATAAGTTTACTGATGAACCCAAATATAGAAAGTATCACATATGTGGGCACGAGGACACACATTATGAGTCTTGGCTCATTAAAAAGTCAATCCTATAGGGAAAAACTGTGTTAAGGGTAAAAGCTATGTCCCAGATGACAGATTTAAATCTTCTAAAATCTTATTCAAATCTATGTCTTTTGGAGCACTAATCCCACATACTGTCCCAGCCAGAGCATCAGGATCAAGAGAGAAGTTTCCAGCTTCTCCTTTCTAGTTACCCAGCCTCCCCTTCTTCCATACGCATGAAAGCAACACCATCAAATGGGAGACTACATCTGATGTAACCCTTAAAGTAGGTTCTTTTAAGAAATGTATCATAAACATGATTTAAGAATCAGAGGAAACTCTCCAAATCCTCCATATTTGAATAAAGGTGCAACAGTTTAGCAAAATGATGGTAAGTTTTATAAATTATACACTGCAATAATTACATGCAACAGAGTACACTACTTCCCATTTTATAATGAATACAAACCTATTGATGCTAGTCCTTCAGGTCTGCTTGAAATTCTTATAATGTTCCTATCTCCCTTTATGAAAAATATCTCATTTTCTGTGCAGGAGACAGACACAATATCACCTGATCCTTCCAAACCAGCAATTGTGGCCTGTCAAAAAAAAAAAAAAAAAAAGTCACAAAACAAGACAATAGTAACAGTTCAAAGCATCAAAAAGCATGTGTAAGAGTCCAAATAAGTCAAATGATAACTGCACTTTGCCATGGCAATTTTTTCTCTCTCTCTCTCTTTTTGAGTTGGAGTCTCACTCTGTCACCCAGGCTGGAGTGCAGTGGCATAATGCAGCCTCCACCACCTGGGCTCAGGAGAACCTTCCTCCTGAGTCTCCTGAGTAGCTGGGACTACAGGTATACAACACTACACCTGCATAATTTTTAATTTTTTTGGTAGAGATCAGGTCTCCTTATGTTGCCTAGGCTGGTTTCGAATTCCCTGGCTCAAGCAATCCTTGGCCTCCCAAAGTGCTAGGATTACAGGTGTGTGAATCACTATGCCCAGCCCGCTATGACAACTTTCTGATAACTCCTACAGTAGTTCAATCCAAAGTTAGTTAACATCTGACAGATAGGTGAGTAGGGGTCTGATAGGCTCCCTGGCAGTATGGGAACTCTGCCATCTGCCACCCGTCTGCAACCTTGCCCTTTTACCTGCTTCATGTATACTGATCATGCCAGGCCAAACTCAGCCCATTTTCTCTCTGCTTGAATTCCTCTCTTGTCCCTGTTCATTGGGGGAGTTCTAGTTCCATTTGGATGCCACCTCTGTGAGAAGTGGCCCCTGAAAACCTACCCTCTGGGGCAACACCCAGGGGTCCCCAGTAGCTCACAGCACTTTACCCAAACCTCTGTCTGGCATGGCACTCCTGGGATGGAGCAATGTGTGGGCAGCACATCTAGACATCCCGACTGTGCACCCTCCAGTGGGAGACACTAGTGTGCGCTGCAGCTCATGATTTTTGCATGGAAGAATGAAGGGAGGGAAGGTTTCCCTAGAGTCATCTGAAAGCAGATGGCACCAAAACCCAGGGCATCCTGAATCCACACTGACTTGAAGCTCTTGCTTTTCAGTCAATAGCACAAGTAAGAGACTAGTTTGTTGTAGAAGACAAAGAGAGTCTAAATCCTTTGCTAATTTTTGAATAATTCTGATGAGCAGCTGGCAATACATTCGTTTCTTCTTTTCTTTTCTTTTCAAGACAAGGTCTGGCTCTTTCACCCAGGCTGGAGTGAAGTGGTAACATCATAGCTCACCACAGCCTCCAACTCCTGGACTTAAGTGATCCTCCCTCCTCAGTCTCCTGAGTAGCTGGGACTACAGGTGCACACCACCATGTCCTGCTAATTTTTAAATTTTTTGTAGAGATGGGGGTTTCACTATGTTGCCCAGGCTGGTCTCGAACTCCTGGCCTCAAGCAATCCTCCAACTTTGGCCTCCCAAAGTGCTGTGGCCACAATGTCTATCCTGGATGGTTTCCCATTCTCATGTCTCTGCCTACAAAATGAAGTTAATTATACCTACTGCGTAAAGTATCAAGTATGTGCTCAGATGAAAGAACTGAAGTACAATCACAAAGTATCTTGATGCCACTAATTACTAACAAAGTCCACATAAGTTCAAATGGTACCCAGGGAAAGAAGAAAAATTAAGCTCTCTATAACTGGGGAAACACTAAAAGAATGTTTTTCAGACAACCCCCTTGGGTCCCCTCCCACTGTGGGAGATTTTCTGTCCTCTCAATAAATCCTGCTTTCTCACTTTCAGGCCATCGGTGTCCCTCATTACTCCTAGGCATGAGACAAGAACCCTGACCTGAAGAGATGCAGAAGATCATTGGAACCAAAGAACAGTGCACCTTGAAGGCTGGAGCCGGCTGAACCAGGATTGCTGCCGGCAGAAGGCAAGACTCCGAAGCTGAGACACTTCTGGGGGCTGCAACACTCTCAGGGCTTGGCTTGCCAGCCCACTAGAGCCAACACTCCCGGGGCTAGGCTTGCCAGCCTACCGAATCAGCAACACTATCAGGGCTTGGCTTGCCAGACCATTAGAACCAACACTCCTGGACTTGCCAGTCCAGAAAGCTGACACTCTCTGGGGCTCAGCTGGCTGATCCATTGAGCACACACTCTCGAAGACCAGGCTGACCTGAAAAATCTGTATCACCGCTATGCTCAAATATATGCTGATTGCTTTGAAGGAGGGGCAAGATGTTGCAGCAAGGCACTCATTATATGGTCCCAGCCCAGAGCATGTTGTACATGAAGCCTTATTATTACACCATTAAATATTCTAGAATGATTTAAAATATAGTTGTAAGGGCACAAAGAGTACTTCAATCACTTATATTGTATGGTTGGATTCCTGTTTCTAAACTATTCGAACAACAACATCAATTCTGGCAAAATTAACCAGAATATTAACAACAACAAAAAAAACTTGGACAGTGAAAAGGTTCAATAAGATATTTTCTAACACATAAAAATAACTGAAAAGCTGAGGAAATGTTACTGAACTGATTTTGATATACATCTATACCAGGTGGAAAACTTAAAAGCAAAAAATCAAGCATTTTGATTCACTAATATGTCACTGATTTACCCATTCTTCCAAAGATTATTTTCTATGCTTTGGTTTTTAGTCAACCCATTAGCAGAAAAATTTCCATTAGCTAATTGCATCCAAAGTAATAAAACACTGTGAAAATGTCATTCTTAGAGTATTTCATATTTAAAATCTTGCACAGAAATGTTACACCTTTACTATAATTAAAATCAACAACAACAACAAAAGAATGTTTTTCAAAATATCTCTTATAAAAGAGACAAATTCAAGGCTAAAAGGCACCTTGGTGATCCCCCTAATCCAATACTCCTCCTCACCCCACATTTTACAGATAGGAAACCAAGCTTAGGCAGACAGGAGACTCCGAGTTAAAGGCTGCACCAGGCTAAATACAGCCATATCATTTTGTCACTTGTTTGTTTTCAGTCTTCTTTGCTTAATACTGTAACTTGGGAAAGTTTCTTATCATGGTAGGAAACAATTTCTGCTTAAATTAGGAAGATAACAGATGACCATTAGAGATGGTTTTAGGAATTTTTCTTTTCTTTTTTTTTTGAGCCTGAATCTTACTCTGTTGCCCAGGCTGGAGTGCGGTGGCATGCTCATGGCCACTGCAGCCTTGACCTGCAGAAGGATCACCTCAGCCTTCCAAGTAGCTGGAACTACAAGCGTGTGCCACCATGTCCAGCTAATTTTTTTTTTGTATTTATTGTAGAGACAAGGTATTGCCATGTTGCTCAGGCTGGTTTCGAACCCCTGAGCTCAGGAAATCCTCTCACCTCGGCCTCCCAAAGTGCTAAGATTATAGACATGAGCCACTGTGCCAGCCACTCTTTACTTTCTATAGCAAGGCTTTGCTTATGAATGAAAAGTGTACCTGTCTGAGACTTGCTACTTGTGGGTAGGAGAAACCTGTTCTGGAGTCTAGACGTGAGGTGGGAAGATTATTTCAAAAAGAGCAAAAGCGAAGGAGAAACCAAAGGGAAACAGTTTTGTTTAAAGTTTCTAAATCAGTTGGGCACAGTGGCTCACCCCTGTAATCCCAGGACTTTGGGAGGTGGAGGAGAGGATTGCCTGAGCCTAGAGGTTTGAGACCAGCCTAGGCAACTTGGTGAGACCTCATCTCTACGATAATAATTTAAAAAATTAGCTGGGTGTGGTGGCACAAGTCTGTAGTTCCAGTTATTTAGAAGGCCGAGGCAGAAGGATCACCTGAGCCCAGCAGGTCAAGGCTGGGGTGGCCATAAGCATGCCACCACACTCTAGCCTAGGCAACAGAGTGAGACTCCAGCTCAAAAAAAAAAAAAGTTCCTAAAACTATCTCTCATTGTAATCTGTTATCTTCCTGATTTAGGCAGAAATTGTTTCCTACCAAGATTAGAAACTTTCCCATGATATATTATTAAGTAAAGAAGACTGAAAACAAATAAGTGGCAAAATGATATGGCTCCATTTGGGTAAGAACAAGGGTAAAAGAACAGGGCAGAAGACAAGTGGGAGGAAGAAACCCTTGTGGGCTGGTTCATCCTGGGAGGGCCTCAGGGCTATAATTCTTTGTTGTGATTTCTGTCGTGTTTGAGTTTTCACTATATGTGCCCAGAGCACTTGGTAGTCAGAAAAAACATGACCCAAATAGATCATAAAGAGCAAGTTTAATTTTGTGTTTACATGCCAAAAACACACATAACTTCTTGGCAGGGTATAGGACTATGAATATCAAAACCAAATTATTTTTTCAAATCTACAAAAATTACCAAACCTTCATCTGATTTCCTCGACTGGCCGGAAGGAAAAAGTAAAGCGTAGATCAATATACTCCTTTTATCCTTCTGCAAGTTGGGAGGCAGAACAGTCTGCAGATAAACATTCTCTTGCCTACAGCCAACAAAGATGTGGTGCAATGCCTGCCCTTACCTGGTTGATGGTGTCTAGAAGATAGATACTGTATTCATTCCAACTCAACACCCAACCTTCTTGAAAGAAACAGGATACCAGTCCCAGGTGCTTCTCAGGTAAGCTGCAACTGCCCCCGTCAGAGGATTCTAAGCGTGGGTATAGTTCGAAAGACTTCACTCCTCCAGCAAAAACATCTTTTAAGATAAATGTGGCTTGAACAGTCCCATGGACGTCGGCCTTCCATAGCCGCAGCCCAGGCCGGGATGCATACAAGGTTAGGTCACTTTGCTTACAGAGTCCTGGTATAAAACAAGCACCAAATTTCCCAGTACTAAAATTAGAAGAAAGAAAAAGAAAAAACAGTCATAGGTTGATTGAAAGAGATGCAGTTATCAACCTGTGATATTAACTACAACAATAATTTTTTGGCTAAGCCTAAATAATGTATTTTTTCCCATTTTCTACCATTTTATTTTTTTTCTGGTAATTAAACCATGTTGTCATTCCTGCACCCATGGAGGCCCTTACCACATCCTCACAAGTGTGCACCCCACTGAGCATACACTCTGACTTAACCAGAACCATTCAGAATGCCCACTGAAGCTTGCACCACCTGGCATTTAGCTCCACTCTCCAGTTTAACCCTTACAGCAACCACAGGAGGCAAAAATAGTCACTCAGGCACAGACTGTATGTACGATGGTGGCCCTACAAGATTATATCACATTCTACGGTACCTTTCTATGTTTAGATACACAAATCCTTACCATTGTGTGACAATCACATAGTGTCCAGTACAGTAGCACGCTACATAGGTGTACAGCCTGGAAGCAATAAGCTACACCACACAGCCCAGGTGTGCAGGAGGCTGTGCCATCTAGGTTTGTGTAAGGATACTATGATGTTCGCACAATGACAAAATCACCTAATGACCCATTTCTTGGAATGCATACCCATTGTTAAGCGATCCATGGCTGTATTACAACTCCCATTTTGGAAAAGAGTAAAATGAGGCAGAAGGTGACAAACACAGGTCTGCCCATCCTCTCATGCTCTAATTCTGTTTCTTCTCACATCTGATTGCTATGCTCACTCCAACATCATGAATGAATGAAATTTACGTCTGGAACCACAGCAACCCATCTATATTGTTGCCCTTTCAGAATTTCTCTAAACCCGTAAGGTAGGGTGAGAGGTACCAATCTCCCTTCTAATCTCCAGGCTTGATATTTCCTTTTCAAAATTATGAAATATCTGACACAAACAAAAGCATGTTTATCTATATATATGGCTATGTGTATATATATATAAACACACACGTATATACACACTTAAGTACACACTATACACACACATGTGCATTACTTCATGACGGGTATAAGTTCTGAGAAGTACATTATCAGGTAAACTCATCCTTGTGTGAACATCAGAGTGTACTAGGCAGCTTACTACATACCTAGGCTATATGGTATATATTGTCTATTTTTCTTGGGCCATGTTCCATTATAATATTATGGAACCATTGTCACATATGCAGTCCTCTGATGACTGAAATGATATGTGGTGCATGATCATATATATATATATGCATATATATCTACAGTTATTAAGCCTAATAATGAAATGTATACCCAGGAACCCTTCCCCCAACTTAGGAAATAAATCATTTGCCATCCAACTGATACTTTTTTGTGTTCCTAATACTTCCTATCCCCTCCAGTCCCAGATGTCACCACTGGATTGAATTTTGCATTTATCATTTCCTCACTTTTATTGATAGTTTAATAACATATCTATGTATCCCTAAACAAAATATAATTTAGTATTTCTTTACATTTTTGTCATAACACTAACGAGGAGAAAAATTTGTTTCATTATATGTCATTTTGCTTAAAGTTGCAGTTTCCAAGAACCTACTGACAACAGTGAGAACCTACTGTATTCCACAATTTATTTAGTCATTCTCTTGTTGATGGGTATTTGAATTATTATCTTTTTTTTTTTTTTTTTTAACTATTTTGAACAATAGTGCTATGAACATTTTTGTACACACATCCTAGCACACAGGTGTACGAGTCTGTCAAGGACATTTCAGGAGTGCTGAGAGCATATTAAATTTTAGAAGACAACTTCACACTTTTTTCAGTGTGATTATACAAATCTGCAAACCCATCAGCAACCTGAGTGCTTGTTATTTCACATTTTTGCCAACACTCAGACTTCTACCAGAGTTCAAATTTAAGAGTTTCCGTTCAAACCTTGCCCTGCTGATTCTTTCTCCTAAATGTTCCTCAGATTATAAGCAGTAGAAAGAGTACTGGCTCGGCTGGGTGCAGTAGCTCAAGCCTATAATCCCAGCACTTTGGTAGGACGAGGTGAGAAGACTGCCTGAGCCCAGGGGTTTGAAACCAGCCTGGGCAACTTGGTGAGACCTCGTCTCTACAATATATCAAAAAGTTAGCTGGGCGTGGGTGTAGTTCTGGCTACTTGAGGTGGAAGGATCGTCTGAGCCCAGCAGGATGACACTGTGGTGGCCATGAGTGTGCCACTGCAGTGCCTGGGCAACAAAGTGAGACTCTGACTCAAAAAAACAAAACAAAACAGTACTGGCTTTAAAGTAAGGCCTGGGCTCAACATTCAGTCTGACACTTCCTAGGTATGTGGTGTGTGCAGTTAGCTAGCCTTTCTGGATCACGCTTCCTAGTCTGTAAACCAGACATGATAATTCCCATCTCAAAGGTTGAAGGGAGGACTGAATGAGGTAAACTATCAAAACACAAAAGCAACGCTTGTGCCACTGTAAGCTCCCATGAATGCTCAACTGTCCTGAAAGAGGCACAGGCAGCTTACAGCTGGGAGCTGCCCCGTCCCCCTACTTCCACCCCACTGCGTGCTCATCACAGCTTGTGCTGCCCTCTTCCAATCCCTGAACACAGCAGCACACCCAAACCCCAGAGGTCGTCCTAGGCCCATCCCACACAGTCACACAAGGAGTTATTTGGGGGTTTCTGCATGTCAGTATCTCACTAGGTCGGTTGACACCTCAGTAACTAGATCTCTCCAGAAAGGGTCCAAAGAGAATATCATATATCAAATTCGGCTTTGAAACAAAGATCGTTAAGACACACCAAGAATGTTTTGACACTGTCGACCTTCCACAGGCAGCTCTGTAATCAGCATCGTGTCTGATTACTGCCTTTGGTGGTTTTGTTCTGGAGTCATCCTCTAAATAGAAGGACCCAGAGGAATTCTAGCACGGCAGCCCATAACCTCTTCCTCCTCTATTCCTCTCAAATCAATTTCTTTTGGTGATCTAATTTTTAAATCTGTTTTCCTTCTATTTATAGGTCCTCTTAAGACTCTTGTCATTTCCATTTTGACTTGTTTACCATATGTAACTAAAGCATTCATCTTAACAAACATTTAATGACTTCGTACATTCTGTAAGATACTACTGTACTTGCTGCCGAGAGTAACATAAAAAATAAATGAGGTCCTTGTCTTGTCTTATAACACAGTATGGCAGGCGTGTGCGTGAACAATTACAACAGCATCTGGGAAGTGCCATGTTTGAGGCTCAAAGAGCTGCCCGAGGAGTTCAGACCAAGGAGACACATCTGACTGTGCAGGAGAGAGGGCAAGGCCTGCAACACTGAGGGACTGTTGCCTGATGGAGACAAGGAAAGAGTTCGTTCCTGGGACTGGCTGGCTCTGAGAAGTGCCAAAACATTTGGAGAAGGTTGGCCAAAGGCAGCTGAACTGAAAGAACCAGCTAGAGACAGGTACAAATTGTCCCTGACTCAGCCACGGTCCACTTGCAGGGTGATTCTGCAGTACTTGCTGATGTCATTCTGAACTTGACAGTAAAACTCCAACTTTTAAGGTCTAGGTATTGCCGGATTCTAAAATCACTTTAAAAAATTAAAATAGTTTCTTAATTTTGGTAGAAAGGATTTCTAGAAAAATCACTGATGACTTAAAAAAAACTTTAATTCCCTTTAGAGGCCACACTGACATAAAAAAAGTGTTTTCTGGTAAACAAATTCAAACCACAAAACGGTGTTTTCTAAGTCTGTGCATAATGTACTGTGTCACAGACCTGATATGCTAGAGGTGACAGAGCCCAAAATGGGATCATGAAGGTCTAAGACAGCTGAGGGGAAGGTCCCAAAAAGCCCTGACAGTGATCTCAACAGCCAAATGCCCACAGGTCAGGTGGACACAGCAGTGACATGTTCCAGAACTGGGTACTGGCCTGACACATGTGCAGGCACTACACCTACAATGCTGACTGCAGTGCCTGCATGCTGTTGCCACAGAGGACTTCTCTGAGGACTAGACTTGCAGGAGACACAGCATTAGAGTGAAGAGGGCTCTGACACATGAAATCATGCACATAAATACAGAGGACAGCAATGACAGCTGCCTGTAACACACGGGTGGGGGTGGCAGGGGTCTCCAAGGTTTTCCAGAAGCAACACCTGTACTGTCCAGTCCAAAGAGGTTCACAGACTTGATGAGAAAGAAGCCCTCACATTCGGCCTCTGAGCCTCCCAACCTGCCTACACCTGTCCTATGCTCTGTGCATTGCCTTTTTTCTGGAAGAACATCCAGCCAACCTCGCCACTGCTACCCATGAGAGGGTCCCACTGAGGTTGCCATTTGCACCCTGTCTGCAGCATCACCGTGTTCCCTCTCTGGGTACCCGCCTCACACCCCAACGTGCCACCATATTGTCCCTCTTCTAAAACTCCCACAGGGCCACATGATCTCTCCTCTGGGTACCACCTATTCCTGTGTTTCTTTCTAAAAAAAAGTTCCTTCAAAAAGCTGTCTACACTTACTGTTCACTCCTTCTCTTTCCACCCCTCCAATCCTTTGGCCCTGCTCTTGATGAGGGGGGTTGTTCACAGCCTCAGTGCTGCCAAATTCAGCCCATCTCAGTCTCTCCCACAGAGCCCAGTGGGCACTCTGTGCTTCCATGTCTAATGTCTCACTCCTCAACCCCCCGATGCCCACTCTCTCCTGATGCTTTTTCCTTCTCCCCAGAACCTGAGGCTTCCTTGCTGCTCCCAAGGTGAGCATGCCTACCTGCATGCCAGCAGCTCCCAAAGCCCAGCTCCCAGGAGGCATGCCCGCCTCCACTTGGCTACTCCACTGTCCACGGGGTGGAAGAGGATGCTTCGGGCCCCCGGCAGTCTCATCTCCTCCTCCCTCCTTATGCCCCAACACATAGCAGATAACTTCCCCCTTACCAGGCTACTCCACATATGGCATTTGCACTTACCCAGTTGCACAGGCCCCAGCCTAGGAAACATCTGGAACTCGCCTCTCACACCCAAGAGCCAACATGAAAGCAAGTCTGCCAGCTCTGCCTTCACGCACCCCCGGCATCTGCCCCAGTCACTCCGGTGTAGGCCCCCACCTCTCACCTGGACCACCTGGAGCCCTGTGCTGACCCTGCTGAGTGGCCACTCCTGCCCCTTTGGGATATTTCCAAATGGTGGTCAGAGTGATCTTCCATGGTCAAAGCCCTCTCTTGACTCACCACGGCACCGGGATGAAGCAGACCCCTGAACAGGGCCCTCCCCAGCTCCGCTCTGCACTGCACCTGGGCTTGGTCCTCAGGTGCTCAGATGCTGGTGCATGCAGGTCCCTCTGCCTCAAGGGCTGCTCACCAAGGGCTAGTTCCCCTCATAGGAACCGTCCCTGCCTTCCTACTGAAACAGACCACTGTGTCCACTGCTCCCTCCACTCTGGCTTAGATCCTGGTATATTACCACTGAGCACCCTGACTTGTTACAAGCCTTCATGGACACGCGGCCTGAGATGAGAGACCCGTTCAGCCTTGCTCACAGATGTCTCCCTAGACAAAGAGTGGCTGGCAAAGAGTAGAGACTTGGTGTGGAGTTTTCAGTGCTGGATGAAGAAACATTCCCTGGGTGTCACTGTCATGTGATGTGACACATGATGATCCAATTTTCCTCTCTGGCTGAGACCTCTTCTTGGGGACTTCAGATCTTCACACAGAACTGCTTACTGCTATTCCCACTTGGCTACCTAACAGGCATCTCCAACTCAGCACGTCCAAATGGTTTCGGATGTCAAGGCCTTCCAGGGGGAGTTCCCACAGTCTCCTGCCTCAGTCAATGGCTTCCCATCCATCCAGGTACTTCAGCCGAAAGCACAAGAATCTTTTATTCCTTCCTTCCCCTTGCCCACGACATTTGGGAGGGACTGCTGGGTATATGACCCAGATGAAAAGTAATCGGTTTTAAATGTCCCTCTTTACACTCTGCCTTCTTTCCAAAAGGACACAGTTTAGTAAGACACTAAGAGATGAACCAGGATAAAATACCTGTAGGCAGAAGAGTAGGATACTGGCAGAGGAAAAGTCAGAACAAAGTTCTGCAGAACCACTACACTCCAACTCCACATTCCACCAGGGCTAACCGGGAGATTACTACAGGATGAAGGCCAACTGCTGATAGAATTGAGAAGAGATTCAGCATGGAAAACAGAAGCCAATGGGAGGTATGGAAGTGTCTCTCAACAGCTGAAGGGCTGCTATGTAGAAAAGAGAATAAACTTCTGTGTTGCTGTAAAGCACGATGGAGACTAAGACTCAGAGGCTGGCTCCCCCCGTGTGATCTCATCTGACGTTCCCGGACAACCCATCACTGATGGCACTACCAGCCTCAGGGCCTCGTCAATGCCTGCCAACTTCATCACATCTCCAAGTCCCTGCTCTCCCTCTCCACAAGGGCCGCCCCAAACCCTCCCCATGTGCCTTGACCATCTGCCACCCTGCCCCCCGCCCCTGATTTTCTATAGAGAACAGTGCCCTTTCCTGGGATACACAAGATACGAACTCGTCCAGTTCCCACTGGTCAATCTACAGTGGATGCGCCGATGCTGCCCTGTTTCCCCATTCTGGCTCTGTGGTTGCCTCCTACGCAGGATAAGGAAGGGTCAACCCTACTGTTCTACCTGCTCCTCCCTCACCCTAACCCCACCTGGCCAGAGTCCAACCAGTGTGTTTAACGGGCCACGGTGGGGACAATGAACTGTAAGCTACCCAGGTATTCTGCCGCCTTCTTCCACATGGCTGGTATGGCGAGCAGACTTCTCTTCCCTGTCCTTCCTCCAGGTAGCCAGTCAAAGGCGGGACAATTCCTCAACCTCGAGCCCTCTGGTTCCTTGGCTAATCCCAAGCACTGTGCAGGCCCCATGCCTTTGGGAAGTCTCCCCAGTCCCCTCGGCTGATGCAAGCCTGTTTAAACTCAGACGGTACCCTGTGTTGCTCCACACCAGGAAACACAACCATCAATGAGTGTCCGCTGCAATTCCATCTCCATGATGGAGGGCTCAGACCTGCCATGTTCCCGCGTCATCACTGAGCCTGCCACAGTGCAGAGGCACTCAGTAAATGCTTGCTGAGTAAGGAGTGAGTTCCCCACGCTTGTCTCCTCGCCAGGAATGTGTGGAGGGGGTCTGAGCAAGGAGTGAACAGACACCAGACCACCCAAGGCTCCTCCAGACTGTGGCACCCCCAAGGCAGAGTGGCTGCACTGCAGGCTCCCGAAGTGCCTTGGCAAGAGGAAGTCACTCTTCCTGCCTGCTCCATAGGAGGTATCCTAGGCAGGCTCGGGCCCACCAGGAAGACCAGGCTTAGAGCTGTGTGGGCTTGCATCTAACAAGCAGGAAATCCAGAACACTTCAAGCACCTTCTGTAACAAGGCCTTATGTCAGTCCAACCTGGAATCCCGTGATGCTTACCTTTTCCTTGGTTGTGTTCCAATTTGCTTGACAGACCTTTCCTCAGTGTAAAAAAGCAGACTTCTTTGCAAAGTAGAGACAAGCAGCACTTTCTGGCTATAATCCAGCTGCACAATGGAAGACGGCTCCTCCAACACCAAGTGGGAGTTACAGACACCCTATTAGCGAGAGTTGGGTTAAACCTGACATCAGGGCTGAGTTAGGAGCATCCTTCCTCTAGCTGTATTTGGGTCATTTACATCATAAAATGTATGCTTTAAATCTCTTTAGATTCAGTGTCAGTTCATTGCAGTGAGACTTGGAAAAGTACTAATGAGAAAATAGTCGATGTTAACATCTACCTCATGCTACATCAAGTCTGACAAGAAACATTAAGAAATCGATATAATTTATTTTAAAATGTTCTTAGTAGACAGTTCAAAGAAGAATCCATAAAGATCCAAACAGAAAAGTCATACTTTGTATATTACTATTATTTTTATTATTTTTGTTAGAGATAGAGTCTCACTGTGTCTCCCAGGCTGGAGTGCAGTGACATGATAGTAGCTCACTGCAGGTTTGAACTCCTGGGTTCAGATGATTTTCTCACCTCAGCCTCCTGAGGAGCTAGGACTACAGGCATATGCTACTACATCCAACTAAGTTTTTAATTTTTTTTGTTGAAATGAGGTTTTACTACGTTGCCCAGACTGGCCTCGAACTCCTGGCCTCAAGGAATGCTGCTTTGGTCTTCCAAAATGCTGGGATTACAGGCATGAGCCACTGCACTTGGCCTGTGTATACTATTTATTCAATTATAAAACACAATGGAATGGAACTTGCTATAAAATTAGTGTTACAAAGATTAGTTCTCTAAGTTCATATTATACTTTACCCTCAAAAGGAGTTCAAAGCAGTTTTGAGGACATTATAACCTTGTCAACAGAAAGGGTTACAGAAAACAGGTTAGAAATAAATTAAAATTGAAGTAAATAAATAAGAAGGTATTTTTTTTTGAGTTGGAGTTTTACTCTTTGTTGCTCAAGCTGGAGTACAGTGGCATGCTCACGGCCACTGTAGCCTCGACCTGCTGGGCTCAGGCGATCCTTCTGCTTCAGCCTTCCTAGTAGCTGGAACTACAGGTGTGTACCATCATACCCAGATTTTTAAAAAATTTATTGTAGAGGTGAGGTCTCACCAAGTTGCCCAGGCTGGTCTTGAACCCCTGGGCTCAGGCAATCCTCTCACCTCGGTTTCCTAAAGTAATGGGATTACAGGCTTGAGCCACTGCACCTGGCTCCATAATTTTTTATTTTTTTGAATTGGGGTCTTACTCTCACCCAGGCTGGAGTGCAGTGGCACGCTCATGGCCACTGCAGCCTCGACCTGCTGGGCTCAGGTGATTCTTGCGTCTCAGCTTTCCAAGTAGCTCGAACGACAGATGTACACCACCACACCTGGCTAGTTTTTGTGACTGATTGTAGAGACAAGGTTGCCCAGACTGGTCTCGAATCCCTAGGCTCAGGCAATTCTCTTGCCTTGGCCTCCCAAAGTGGCTGGGATTACAGGCTGAGACACCATGCCTGGCCAATAAGATGGTATTAATATAAAATGGTATTTTATATATAAACATCAAATAAAATTCTAGAAGACATTTTATTGCTAACACAAACTATACTTCATAGGGTCAAAAATCTGATTCTGGCTGAGCGTGGTGGCTCACGTCTATACTCCCAGCACTTTCAGAGACAGAAGCAAGAGGATTACCTGAGGGGTTTATGATCCACTTGGGAAACTTGGTGAGACCCCACCTCTACAATAAATAAATAAATAGCAGGGTGTGGTGGCATGCACCTGTATTTCCAGCTACTTGGAAGGCTAAAGTAAAGAAAGATCACCTGAGCCTGGCGGGTTGAGTATGTGGTAGCCATAAGCATGCCACTGCACTCCAGCCTGGGTGACAGAGTGAAATTCCAACTCAAATAAATAAATAAAACTGATTCTTTTGTTTTGTTTTATTTTTTAAGTCAGAGTCTCAGTCTGTTGCCTAGGTTGGAGTGCAGTGGCACACTCACAACTACCACAGCCTTGACCTGCTAGGTTCAGGTGATCCTTCCGTCTCAGCCTTCCAAGTAATTGGAACCACAGGCATAGGCCATCGCGTCTGGATAATTTTTTGATTTACTGTAGAGACGAGGTCTTGCCAAGTTGCCCAGGCTGGTCTTGAACCTGTGAGCTCAGGCAATCCTCTCACCTTGGCCTCCCAAAGTGCTGGGATTACAGGCATGAGCCACCGCACCCAGTTATAAGTTACTCTTATAAAACAGTTTCATCAATTGTTTCAGAAATAATACTGTAACATCACAGCCGTATTGGGGAGGGAGCAGAGACAGTGATCAGATTTACTGCTAAAACTTGCATACAGTAAAATTTACCCTTTTCCAGGTATACAATTCTATGACTTTCGACAAATTTGTAATCATGGAACCACCACCAAAATTAACGTTGAGAAACTTCCATTAAATCAAAACACTGCAGACACTAAATGAGTCCTCCTCGTTTAAAGTTATTCAGAATGTAGCTCTTCAATTTTTCACTTAGCTTGTGGTAGGATTAAATTTTCTATTCTGTATCTTGTAAAAACATGCATTCTCCCATGTCTTTTTTTTTTTTTTTTAAGTCAGAGTCTCACTTTGTCGCCTAGGCTAGAGTGCAACGGCATGCTCACAGCCACTGTAGCCTCAACCTACTGGGCTCAGGCGATCCTTCTGCCTCAGCCTTGCAAGTAGCTGGAACCTCAGGCATGTGCCACCATGCCTGGCTAATTTTTTGATATATTGTAGAGACAAAGTCTCGTCAAGTTGCCCAGGCTGGATTCGTATCCGTGGGCTCAAGCAGTCCTCTCACCTCTGCCTCCCAAAGTGCTGGGATTATAGGCGTGAGCC